AAATGATGGACATAACATTTCCAGTTTTAAATCAAAATCCAAGCTGCAAACTTATTTTAATACTTGCTAACCAAAGCATTTTTCACTTTGGGTTAATTTTTATTACTTAAAAAAATTTGTTCCCTTTTAAAACTATACTTGCATTGCAATTTGCAAATAGAATCGATAAACCATTAATCATTTTTTTATTTTTAAAAAGAAAAAAAAACTTTTTTTGTTTAGAATAAAACTGAGAATGAAAAGACATAGCTGACCACTCATTGAAATCGACAAATTAATCTAATAATAATAGCATAAAAGTGAAGGAGAAGAAACGACTAAAATGTTCCTAACATGAGAAGTGAATTGTTTATACCATCAGAGGATTCATTGAAAGAGGTAACGATAAGCTACAGCAGTTCTTGAAAAAAGATATCCAAATTCTTTTCTAAATCTTTGACCAATCCACCCACAAAAAAAAAAAAAATTTATTAAGAATATTAAAGAAAGAAAATATGAAAACAAATAACCCAATAACAAATGAAAGCTTTGAAAAATTAAAAAGAAACTAAACTGTTGTGCTTTAGAAAAAGATTGAGAAAGAAAACAAGGAACATAAAATAGAAACAAAAAGCAAAAAAATGATGGATCAAAAGAAAGAAAAATAAAGGAGCTCTTACCTACCCATCACATTATTTTTTTCAAACCAAAGAGAAGATCTATTAATTTTTTCAAATAAAAAAATAAATCTCACCTACCTTTTCTCCCTATATTTTCTTGTCCTTTGTTACATGAAAAAAAGATTATTTCTTTTGTCCTCTGTTACGTGAAGATATGGGTGAGATGAAGAAAAACAGATTCAAGCAAAAAGAAAAGGGAAAGAAAAAAAATTTAGATGACACTTGCATAGGCTAAGGTGAAGTGTAAGTCAAAGTTAGTAAAATTAATAGTATGAATGGATGGATAAATGGATTTGTTATATGGATTTTATTCTAAAGACTACGTTTATAATTTTAAAAACGTAGTATTTAGTGTTTGTAACATCAACTAAATGCTATGTTTCTAATTTAGGAAACGTAGTTTTTGGTGAATTTTTTTTTTTATTAATGACTATGTTTATACTTTTAGAAACGTAATTTTTGTAAAATATTTTTTTTAGTCTTAAAAAAGCAAAAGTGATAAAGGAAAAGGTAAGTTAATGAATCTCACCAAATCTTCTCATTTTACTTTTCCAAGGATTTTTTTTTTACAACAAAAAATTACAAAGACTACCTTTTTTATGTAAGAAATGTAGTCTTTGTGCACTGAAATCTCACAAAATCTTTTCATTTTATTTTTTCAAGAACTTTTTTTTTATAACCAAAAACTATAAAAACTACCTTTCTTATGTAAGAGATGTAGTTTTTATGCACAAAAGCAAAAGTGATAAAGGAAAAGGTAAGTCAATGAATCTCACCAAATCTCCTCTTTTACTTTTCTAAGAATTTTTACAACAAAAAATTACAAAGACTACCTTTCTTATGTAAGAAAGGTATTCTTTATGCATTAAAATCTCATCAAATCTTCTCTTTTTACTATCTCAAAAACTTTTTTTACAATAAAAAACTATAAAGACTACCCTTCTTATGTAAGAAACGAAATATTTGTGCATCAAAATCTCATCAAATCTTCTCATTTTACTTTGCCAAGAATTTTTTTTAGAATAAAAAAAAATTATGGGTGAACTTATGAAAGCTCATGAAAGCAATACATCTTCTTTTACTCTTAAAGCTCATGAAAGCAATATCATGTTAAAAGTGGGATCTGACAAATACATATGGGTGGGAGCTGTTTTGGCTTTACAAAGATTATGTTTCTATATGAGAAACATGGTATTTGGATTGTATTAAAAAATTACACATCAAAAACCAAAATTATGGTCTTTGTTAGCTTTTTAATTATGTTTTATATGTCAAAATGTGATCTTTGTTGGCTGTTGATGTTAGAAATCTTTCACCTACTCTTATCTCATTTTCTCTTTGGTTAAATTAAGGAATAACTCCTCCTCTCTTTTTCTCAAATATTGTTAAAAAAAAAACAAAAAAAAAAAGATAAACCATGAAGTCGTCACATGGCACTTCCAATGAAAAATCCTGTGTTTCGTATATTTGTAAAATTTATCTTGTAGTTTATAACTAGCATGATTTGCCATGGCTTAAAAATTTTTTTTTGTTATCTTTATTTATTAATTTTTTATTGTAAAATTTATTTAATTAGAAAAAAGAAAGGTAAAAAAAGTCAAATAAAGGTGATAATGAAGAATTCAATTACCTCATTTTCTTGTAAATTTTATTATTTAATTAAAATATAAAAATTAAAAAAAAAGAATTGAAAAAAATAAATAATAAAAATAATAAAGATATCACATTGACACTTTTATTGAGTTTAAAATATTAATTTTTTTTATTAATGTATCAAATAATAATTTTATTAATATAATATATATGATAAAGCTAATAATAAAACATATATATATATATATCTTAAAATTGATTGTGATAAAACACTTTAAATATGCTTTTTTTCTTGATTTCATATCTCTAAAAACTTGACTCATCCCAAGTGGATTTTGATTTGAAAAAATTATCTCCAATCGAATTGAGATAAATTAAAATTCATTGAATATAAATTATTTTATCAATTTTATTAATTGTTACCTTTTATTGTAAAATTATGTAATTAACAAATTAAAAAAAAAAGCCAAATTGATGCCATGCAAAATTATCATATACTTTACGTAACATTTTTTAAAATATTTATTAAATTTAAAAGAGAAAAATAATACAAATAATAAAAAAAAAAAAATCACAAATATGACATATTCTCGATATCAAGTGAATCCCATAAAAAAAATTTAAAATTTATTGTTTAGATTGTAATTTCGTTAAAAAAATAATGATACTTGTAATTTCATTAAATAAAAGCAATGATAGACGATCTAGTCGCGCTGTTGAGAAAATATAAACATGGGTCGGAAGATTTTACGCCTAATTTAGATGAAATAAAATATTTTTTGACTTTTTTTATTGATTAATGGTTATGAGATTATAGAGTAAATTCGCAGAACTAGAAACGAATATTGAAATTTATCATTATATTTTGATTTAATTAAAAATTTATTAAAAATTTTATATTTAAAAACATTAAAATTTAAATTACGATAGAATTAAAAATCCAATAGTCCGACAACTGATGACTATCTACTTTTATTTTGCCATTATATTTAATAAAAAAGTACAATTTATAATTAAATCACATTGAAAAAAAAAAAAAACTGAAATAGCCTGTTGAAACTTGAAAATCGTCACTCAGACAACAGAGTAATGTCAAGATTCAAGTATCAAATGATTAAATAGTTTCCAAAATCACAAATCAGAAGAAACAACGAAAATTTCTAAAAAGTCGAATTCTCCGATTATAGTTGCCAAGTTTACCTGATATCCAATGGATTATCCCTTCTACCTTTATGCTTGCTTAACTGAAATAAACATTCCTAGCATTATCTCTTTCGAACTCATATCCAACGAACCCAAATATAAATTGTTATTTTAGTTGGTAATTTAAATTGTATTTCTTTCATGTCCTTTTTTATATTATTTTTTTATCGTATTTAAAATTATCAGATGTATTACTTTTTTATAAAAGATCTACTACTACTATTCTTTTAACAAGATAACTTAATCAAGAATGCAACTTATATAAAACATTTTTAACTGACTAGATTGAACAAAAAATCTGCAAGATAAATCTCAGATAACATTGACTAAACATGGTTTGAAAACAAAAGAACCCACCATCCAATACATCTAAATAACAACTCATTCTACTTTGAAAAATACCAAAACTTGCTCAAAAGTAAGAAATCAAAGGTGAGAAAGTACTGTTTCACCGACTAAACTTTAAAACTTTTACTCAAGAGGAAGCACCACTGCGCAGAGCTTGGGACTTCTTGGACTTGCCAGCTGCCAATTGAGTTTCAGGCTGAAAGGAAAGGAAGATTATATCAACAAAAATTAAAAAACGTCATAATTTGCATTCATTAAGGAAATTTAAGTTTAATTAAATTACCTCTTTCTTGACAGGCTCTTCCTTCTCAGATAAAATTAACTCAATGTGGCAAGGAGAAGACATGTAGGCTGGCAAAAAGAGCAGAGTCCTTTTAACATAGGAAAACGAAACAGAATCTATACAACGAGTGCATGGTTCTAATACATACGGTTGATTCTTCCATGGGCACGGTAGGTACGACGCCTCTGCTTCTGAGCCTGGTTTACCTGGATGTGAGAAATATAGAGTGCATCGACATCCAATCCCTTGACCTGAGAAGATAATTTCCAATTGTTAGGAAAGTAAAGCAATAGAGAGAAGAAAAAAAGAAACTAAAAAAACCAAAGATTAAGCATACCTCGGCATTACTCTCAGCATTCTTCAGCAAATCTAGAATGAACTTGGCAGATTTTACAGGCCAGCGACCCTGTCCATTAGAATGCCTGTTCTTTGCCTGAGCTGTACGTCCAACACCACCACAGAAGCGTCGGAAAGGTATGGCCTGCTTGTGGGCCATAACATCCTCTAAATACCTCTTAGCCTTACCCAAAGGCAACTTTCTAATGGCAAAAGCTGTCTCCCTTGTGTTCTATAATACAATAAACAGGTATGATATTCATTGATGACCACCACCAAACAGTACAGCACAAAATGGGTAAGAAAATCCAAAAAAAGACGGGAAATATATATCATAAAACCAATACTATGATAGTTCACAAAAGCAACCAACCAACATCAAGACATGCCAAAAAACAATTAAACAAACTCATTCTCATATCACAATTAATCCAAAAACTAAATTTTTTCCATAGGATTACAAAGTGTCGCATCATTTACTGAACCTTCAGTCACCAAGAAAATCCAGAGGTTCACCCAATAACAATGCAAGTAATTTTCCTGAACTTTACGAGAGCCTCGTTCACAAAAGGCAACAAGACCCTGCTTTTTTCATCAGGTTTAAGAATCCAAATACTCAACCAAAAATTCCATAACCATAAACAACGTCCTAAAAAGGTTACCAAAATTACTTAAAACTCCTCCCTCAAGCAAAAATGAAAATAATAAAAAAATAAACAGAGCAGTTTCACGGCAGCCTTCAATTATTTAATCTAATTATCAACTATGATAACAATATGAGGAAGACTACTGTACCAAGCAAATCTACATCTAATTTTAACAGTGAGTTGTTAAGTGTCACAAAATTTACTGGATCTTCCACCATATATAATAGTAGACAGAGGTTTCCCAACAACACCAACCAATAACCAGAACTTTATATCAAGAATTAAATCAAATTATATCAAGTAATGATGATAATACCTTGAAATGAACCCTGAGATCAGAGCCCCTTGCCTTGCAGGCTGCCAAAAATCAACACCAAACATCATCAGTTTCCAACCAAGAAATTTGCATCCACAAAAAGAAGCAAAAAAACTCAAAAAAGGAACAAATGGGAGTTTACACTTGGTGGGATTATCGGGCTCCTTCGAATACTTCACCTGAAAAAAACGATTCACAACAAAATCGAGTTCAGTGTTGTAAAATAATCACATAAAATTGAGGAATCGATTGAAGAAAAATGCGTACCATGACGGCTGATCTGGTAGCTGCTTCTGCTGCCCAAGAAGCTTTTTAGCGGGTCTGCCTAGCAGAAGTAAAACAGCGGCGAATGCCTTGTAACAATCTAACAAATATATTGATTCCTGACTCTAGGGTTTTTAGGGTTCCCTTTCATGGCTAAGCTTTGGGCTTTTTGGTTAAAAAAACAGAAAATAAAATGAAAGCAAAATGGATTGTTGCCGTGATCCAACCCAAAGTCATCGTTGAAGGCCCAATTACTCTTGGATAAACCCTAAAACCATACAAGGAAGAGAAATCTTTTAGACATAATTTTCTGCTATTTTCAGTTTTAAATTTGTTTACTTCATCATACATTTTAAAACATCTACAAGTATAGTGAATCCAATATTAAGGGACCATAATAAAAAAAAAATATGAAATCTTTTAAGCATTATTTTTTTCTTTTTTTATATATTAATATTTTACTTAAATATTTTCTTTGAAAGATTTATAATTTAAGATAATTTGTACAGAAATAATAAAATATAAAAATTTATCAAAAATAAACCTATGCTAAGATATGTAAAAAATATAGTTATTTAAAAAATAAATTATATCCAAATTATTTTAAATTTATTCTATAAAATTTAACCCTACGGCAATGCATGGATAATCCACTAATATTTATAAATCTCAAATAAATATATGATACAATTTTTTTTATAGGTTATTTGAAGTTTGGAGTTTGAGATTAAAATAATATAGAACCTTGGATTAACCACTATGCTAAATATCAACTTTATTTTTAATGAATAAGCTTTGTTTGATAGAATGTAAAGCGAAATTTTGTTACTTTCGAATTTTTGAGGGATATATTAGAGAAATTGAGATAAATTATATTCCTTTAGTTTTTAAATATTTGTCATGTATTAACTTTCACGGACTTTAAAAAAAATAAAAAAGTTTTGACTCTTTTATATGATAAATGTTTGTCATGTATTTAATATTAAAATTAATTTTTTTATAAAATTAAAGTTTCATGATTTTTAATGTTAAAAAATAAAAAAAATCATAAAAATAATTTTAAAATATAAAAAAAGTTTAAGATATTCAAAAAATAAATAAGATATAATTTTAAGACATCTGAAAAATAGACCAAAAAATAGGACAAAGAAAGTATATAATAATCCTCTTTTTGAATTATATATAAACCGATATACTCTTTTACTACTATTAAATAGAAATTAGAAAAATCCCATTTTGAATGCAATTTTTTATTTAAAAAAAGATAAATTGATTGACAAAATTTTTAAATTTAAAAGTATTCTTAAACAAATTCTTAAAAACTAAAAATTAAGATTGTTTCAATTCCCACACTACACTTAAATCTATTACATAATATAAAAGCCGTCTCTAATTAATTTTAATGGAGATAGCTCAGCAATGTATTATATGATGATAGGAAGGATAATTTTGGTAAAAACTCTTTCAATTGTTCATTTGATGTTCCCAATTGTTTCATTGTTTTTCAAACTTTCCCTTTCCTTTTCAATTTCTCTTCTTTCTTTTTTTCTTCTGTGAGCAAATATATATTTTTCTTTTTTTTTATTTTTTTTGAATATGAAAGAAAAAATCAAATAAAAGTAGTGCACAGGTTGTGGTAACAATCTTCTTTTTTCAGGTAAGTATTTGTTTGTTTCTTTGTAAATTTTTTTGGTTTTGATTTTGCATGTTTTCTGCAAATGTAACGATTGTTTTGATTTTCCTAGATGTTTGATTTTGCATGTTCCCTGCAAAATTTTTTTTGGTTAAACCCTCTTAACTTATCAAAATTTTCAATATTAAATTTTATTGAAATTGTTAGAATGAATGTAATTTGATTAATTTGATTTCGTCTCATGTAGCCTTCATCAAAAACTTTTGATGAAGTATTTTAGTGCATATTTGATTACATTGATAGATTGTTTGTTATGGTCCGTCCTCGAAAGCTCTTAGATATAACTATTGGTGAGTAGTGCTTCTCTTAGATCAAAAAATTTGTTGACATTTTTGACATGTAGATAAAGTGTATTTATACTTGTTTAACGATACTAACTTTTTATTTGGAAATACACAGTAGATAACGTAGCCCCCTAGCTAAAATGATTCAATAGCGAGATAGGTTTTTTAGAATAGAGGTGATATGTTATCTTATCATTGCTTGGGTTTTTTTTTTTTTTTTTTTCATTTCCTATGCTAACTTGTATACTAGATGAAATGGTAGATCTTAAAGATTTTGTAGGTATTGGTATTTCATCTTTCCCACACTATAATGAAAGAAATTGTCACAACAAAAAAAGCCGATTTGGTAATAATTATGTTTCTTGCATCAATCTTGCAATCTTAATTGCTTTATTTGGTTTGTTCTCTGCAAATCCCAATTCTCTTTTAATTTCTTTTCCATTAGATAAATAGTATTATTATTTTACTTACTAAGAATTCTCAAAATTCAAGTTTTGGTTTTTTTTTTTTTTTATCTTTCATGTAAAAAAAACAGGCAAAAATCAAAATTGAATTGGAATTTCTACAATGGCCTATCTAAAATTGAATTATCTATAAATGGGTAATTTTTCTTTCCCTTTTTTTCTTTTTTATTTTCATTGCATGCTTAGTATACCTTTTTTATTTTGCTTTGCATGAAATTTTTTTAGAAAAAAATTCATATTTGCAAACATGATTGTAAACTTTTGATAAACACTTTTTGGGGTTTTTAATCAGAATCTATAACAATTTATAATTTAATATAAAAGTTGTCAAGATAATATAACTTAATATAACAATCTATAACTTTAAAAAGATAAATGTCAAGAATAACAATCTATGTATTCAATATAGTTATATAACCTTACTATAATGGCCAAAAGTGGACTGTTGACAATGTAGTTTATAGGAACTTTGGATTTTCTAGAAGATGAATTTTCTTTATTATGACCATTTTGATTATGCGTTTTCTTTAATATGGCCATTTTAATGTGATTTTGGAGGTTGGTGTTGTTGGATCTTGATGGGTAGGCAAGCAATAGCCAAAAAAAGTGGGAAAGAAATATGTGCAGTCACAGGTACCTTTGGGAGTAGAAAAACGAGTAAAGAGTTACAAATGTTTTAATTCAATGAGAATTGTGTGAATCGAGGAATGGCAGGAATGGAATCAAAGGAGTTTGCAGGGTTGTTGTTTGATGCACTTGCTTAAAAATGAAATATTCAAGGTGACTTAATTGATAGAGTTCATCTAAAAGAGTTTTGGGATCAGATTTCAAATCAAAGCTTCGATGCCAAGCTTCAAACTTTCTTTGACATGTAAATTTGCTCATGTTTTCTTTTCTTTTAAAAACTTTTCATAAATTAATTGTTTATCAATAAGTTGTACTAATTGTATAGCCTTCAGAGCTTAATCTTAAATCCAATGGTTAACAAAATACAGAGTGGGTAAAGATGAAGATGAATGAATGACTGAAGATGAAGTTTGAAAGGTACGATCAAGCATGTACTTTGTGTCAGATTTTTCTGATAATTTTTTAATTATAATTTATCTCACTGTTGATGTACTTTTACAATTTATCTCACTATTGATATACTTCTATAGATTATTAGCCTTAGTGCCTTTGCAAGCAAACTCTCCGATATCTAGAAATAAGCTGAGGAATATGCAACCTTGATTATGGAAGAATTAGACCCAGACCATCTAGGATACATCATGGTAAATTGAAGCATTGCTTTCACTATTGTTGTTGGCTCTATGTTTACTTTTTGGCTTTAATTCAATTATCAGAATTCTTAAATTTTAAATAGATAAACAATTTGAAAATGCTTCCTAGCAAAAAGCATGGGTAATAGCTCTATGGATTGGGATTGTGTGTGGCCTATTTACATACAAATATATCGAATATCAAAGGAGGAAATATGTATTTGAAGTGATGGGGCATTGTGTTTACTTTGTTAAAAGTGCAGCTGAGACACTTAAATTGAATATGGCTCTAATTTTGCTACCTATCTACTGTAACACCATCACCTGGTTAAGGAACAAGACAAAATTAGGTGTTGTTACTCCCTTTGATAACAACCTCAATTTTCAAAAGGTAACAAAGAACATGTGTTCATATATGTTAAGAATTATAACCTTTTAAATTCATTAATGGAGTTTATTTGATTACTTGATTACAAGTGACAGCAGTCGAAATTTCAATTAGGGTTGCCATACATGCAATTTCCTATTTGGCATGTAATTTTCCTCGCCTCCTTCATGCCACTCCTGATAAGAATGAACCAATGTTAAAATATTTTAGAGAACAACCTAAAAGCTACTGGCATTTTGTAAAGCACACAAAAGGAGTAATTGGGATTGTAATGGTGGTGTTAATAGTCATAGCTTTCACATTAGTTGTGCCTTGCTTCAGGCGGGGTAGGATGAACTTCGCCAAGCTTCCCAAAAAGCTAACTAGCTTCAACGCCTTCTGATACTCTCACTATCTATTTGTCATTATTTACATTCTCCTCATTGTGCATGGAATTAAGCTCTTCTTGACCCACAAATGATAAAAAAAAATGGTAAGCGATGATCACGAAATCAAATTCCAATAAGTCAATGCTATATATATTAAACATCCTTACTAACTTGATTCTTTTGGAAATGACAAACATGAATGTACTTGTAGTTGCAGTTCCTTTATTTATGTGAAAAATTGATCAGACTGCTTAGACAAGCATAAGGCTATTACAATATAGAAGGTAAGCAATTTCTCACTTTACATAATTCAATGCAATATTTAACTTCCTGGGTTAAAAAAATAAAATTCATTAGGATTTATATTTTTATCTTTGAAATCTCTAGATGACTATTTTATCCTGGAAATGTACTAGCACTTTACATGTCAAAGCCCCATGGATTCAGATACAAGAGTGGACAACACATGTTTGTCAATTGCGGTAATGTGTCTCCATTCAAATGGTAAGCCTTACCATTTAGATTCAAAATATGGTTGGACATATCTTGTAATTATATTTTTTTTTAACCTTCAACAAACATTGTCAAAAGGGATACTTTTGTTTTTAACATGACAATGATTGTTGATCACATGGGAACCTACAGGCACCCATTTTTTATTACTTTCACCCCCAGATATAATTATCTTAGTGTTCATATTAGAACTTTTGATGGTTGGACACGACAACTCAAGACTGTATTCTTAAAGGTGCATATTAATATAATTTTTATTTTTTTCAACTATTCTAAAATCAAACTTATAGAATAGTTTAAAACTTTGACTTTAATTTGATGCAATTATTTTTATTTTTATCTTTTACTTTTATAGCTAATAATTTTATTAATATGAGTAAAACAAACTCGCAGCATCGTGCATATCTCCTCTCTAGTCTATATAAACAGTTGGTCATGAAGCTAAAGCTAATTTTATAAATCCAAAATTGAAAATTAAGCCGTTTTCATTAAACAACTCATACATGCTGCTTGGCTGGCTAACTCGTTATTCTTATGATCTAATTTTTCGTTGAAGCTTAGTTATAATATAAAAGCTGATTATTCAATTAATTATTTAAATATAATATTTTAAAATTTAATTATAATATAAATTTTGATCATTCAATTTTTTATATAATTATAATATTTGATTATAATTAACATAAAATATTTCTTACTCAGTTTTACAAGTGCAAAGCACAAAATTGATTTGACTGGGAAAGCGCAGAGCTGCACAATGTCATCAATCTTGAGTCGATTATTCTTCACAACTGAATTCCACGTAGTGTTAAGTGTTCAGGACATACGTTGAGCTTTTCTTCGTATTCTACCTTTTAAAAGTGAGAGCAGTTTCCTCCATGGATGGTTCCAACAAGCAAACCTGGATAGCTTTTTCATCCTCCAAATCCTCAGCATCTGTTTTGTTGGGAAACTCATAAGTTTTGAGTTGTGAAAAAGGTATGGCGAACCAACTGGCTTGTCGGTTTTCGTCAGAGTAAAATATTGGCTTTTGTGTCACCAGAACCCAATCCGACCCACCCATTTTTCCAACGATATGCTGTTTGAAGTTTTCAGGCAAATCTGGTGGTGGGTTAGGGCCAACTTGTATCTCTTTCTTGCTTCTCTTCAGTTTCAGTACTTACCATTCTCCATCTTCTTCTTTGAGTAGTTCCAACTTTTTCCTTTTTCCTAGATACTCAAACAACTATTCGGCAATGATCAGAAAATATTTGCTTTCTGATGTGCAGCAGACCACTTCTTTAGTTATGAGAGTTATTCAATTGAAGTAAAAGAAATATCAGAGCTGTTTTCATTATTTTAAATCTCCATTTTTTTAAGAAATTTTCTCACAAAAATAAGGAATTTTGGAATTCGTTTGATATCCCTTTTCGAACTGATCCAAGCATGTTTATTTACATTAAACCTAGTGAATTCATGAAAATGAGAAATTACCTTATTCACATTCACCTAACATATTCAAACTCAGAGATCAATTTCTCGTCACATGAGCCAACGGATGGTATTTGTATTCTCACATTGCACTCAAATTCATATAAGAATTTCAGTGAGAGAAACTTTTGGCAAGCGTATGATGGGGTTAATGTATTGTTACATTATACAGTTCACAACATTGGAATGAAAGAGGAATCAAAAAGTGAAGAATATATGAATTTTAAAACTGAGGTGAGGTATTTTAATGAACTTATTATCTAGTGAAAGAATGACTGGGAAGGAGTATAAAGACTAAATGATGTAGCTGGACAAAAAACTAGAGTAAGCCGTCACATCTGCCCAAGGTGGGAAAAGTCCCTTCAACTTCTTTGCTTCATCAACCAAAATTTGGTCAAGCACCGCCACATCCACCCTTAAATCTCCAGAATTGCTAGACTGCAATCCCCATGTAAGAAGTTAGGCATGGATCATATACATATAGGGAAACCAAAAGTTTCTTTTGATTGCAATTTTCATTACAATGCATAACTGAAAATAGAACTGTACCTCCAACCAGAAGGTCCAATTTTCATGACTGGCTCCACTAAGTCTGCATATGTATGAAGGCGGACCGCCTTCAGCGGTTTCCGGGACTGCAAGATTTATCATTACAATGAATCATGAAAACCAGACAAAACTTCAATGCAGAAGTGGAATAGAAAGGAAAACATTTTACATACCTGGTAGCTTATTGTCAGCAAATGACCAAGTGGATAAAGGGCCAGTAATGTTAAGGACTGTAACCCAAACCTCCTCTAAGGAACTGCAAAGACGAAAATGTAAAAAATAATGTCTATAGAACTTAAGAATCAGTACCATTAAATTTCTAGTTCATGGGTCAGATTTCAAAAGCCTTAACTCACCCTAAGGAAAGTTCCAAATAAACTCTCCGAGATCCATCGCTAGACATCATTTGTGGCTTATTAGTATGCAAATGAGGAAAATGTCTATATTGCTTCAAAACCTCATCACTTCTTGCAGGGAACTTCAAACTTCTTGAAAACAAAAAGGACACTGGAAAAAGTGCCTGCAAAGATATAAAATTTCCATTAGTCAAATTCACAGATGATGTTATTTAAAAGTGTTGTTATATGTAATAAACTTCAATGAGTAAAAATGTGAAAAGGCAAGTGAACCTAACATGGTGGACGCATAAAACAACGATTAGAAAACCAAATAAAGAAGACTGCCATGAAATGAAAGTAGACATTATACAGACAGACCTTCAATGAAGGAAGCCCAAATGAACCTTTCGATAAATTAACGAAGAATTTATTGCAATGCTTTGGTTGAGGATGAAAATAAACAGATATATAGGGAACTTCCCTTGCAGGAAGTTTGCTTGGAGAATGCAAATGATATCACACCAAACCAGCCCTGAGAGGTAGCAGCAAAGGAGGGGAGAAGAGTAGAGGCAATTATGTAATGCAGATGCTCATAACGAACCAACCATTACAAGCATATGCATCCAAGTTTTAAAAGGGAGGCCATTTTTTCTCTTCTTAATCCACAAATTATTATGGGTTATGTATAATTTATAAAACATTGGCATGAGAACTAAATATAACATACCATAAAAGTCTGTTGGTTAGACATTTTAGCAGTTTCAAAAGAAAACTCTGGACCAATGTGCAACGCCCTTGCCACTTCAGGTGCATACTTAAAAAGAAACAGCAAAGAGTTGGAATCCACCACAGAAAAGTCATAACTTGAATCAACAACCCTATTTGCATCTGTCAAGCCCAGAAGTAAAACAGTTTTTAGAAATAACAGCATTACAACTTTTCAGCATAGAAGATATTAGAGTTCTAAACATCAACCATGAATTGAGTCATCAACATCATTAACAAAAAGGATTTGCTTATATAAATAAATTAAGGACTGTAACATTATTACTCTAAACTTATACAGGTTTCAAGAGGTTCTGAATAGCAAAGTAGTTTTTAAATACCTGCTGTCAGAAATGTATGCTGGAAAACAACTCTCTTAGGTGCATCCGTGCTATATGGAAAGAACTGTGAAGACAGAGCCAAAGCAATCACACTAAGATGTAGCAAGAACTGCAAGATGGACGACCTGGCTAACCAATTGCCACAAATAGATAATAGGGGGCCCACACACCAACAAGTGACAACACCAACTATTGCTGCCACCACAATATCAGGAATGTAATTACCTGCAGGCAAAAAACTAAAGATCATGTATTTTGCCATTGTGTATTTCGGAATACTGTTATAGTAAAACTCCTATACAGCATAATCAAATGTTTTAAATTATCAATTTGTTATACCAAAAAAAAAGAAAAAAAAATGTGATATGTACTGAAAATTTAATGCATAGCTATTTGGACAAAAGCAGCAAACATATGAAGCAAGACTCCCATTTTGATTCAATAAAATATCCATTAAGGTAAATCCTTTTGCCAGATCCATGCAAATTTTCTAAAACCAAAATTAGCTACAAAGTACAGAAAAACTAACCATAAGGCGGTGGAAGAGAACCCATCATACCCATCTTCTCAATCAAAAATTGAACAAGAAACCCACCAAAATAAACAGAGTATGTAAGGCAAGGAATTAGAGTTATCACATAAAAAACAGCTGACCTGAAAGAAACAATAATATCAGTCTATATGCAGTGTTTACTAATATATTAATAGAAAGTAGAAATTTAAGACTGAAGGAACACAAATGAAAGGGGAAATTTACTTCCAAACATGAGAACTTTCAGGAATAAAAATAAACAATGTCAATCCTCCAATTCCTAAGCTCAAAGAGATGGAATCACAAAACTTTCTGTCATATCATAACTGAAAGTCATTGGGCCAAAAGTTCTCATAACCTTATAGAGCAATTTTGATGTAAAAACTTAGGTGCTGGAGGTAAAGTAATTGCTAATTCCCTGGATACTGCATTTTTACTTTCCTTAATACCAAAACAGATTGCTATTTTCTTTCATAGTTAAAATCCCTTTCAAACAAATGGGTAACAAAGAGGAAGGCACTTGAAAAGCTAACAAATAGTTCTGAGATTGTGTGCAATTGTATCATTCCTTCTTTTCCTTGATTGCTGTGAGCCACTAATGAGTAGATTCAACCAATATACACGGGGCAGGCACAATGACAGAAATGAAGAAAGAGAGAAAGAGGAGGTGGGGGTTATAAGATGCAAATAACTAACAATTAGCTCCATCAAATAATGATTGGCAACAGCTAAAAACAACCATATGCTCGTAGATCATGAAGTGGATATGCTAATGCATATTCACTGGAAATGATACCTGACTGATTGATGACCACAAAACTTGTTTGATAGGTAAAAGGAGATCCATGCAAGAAGCATAGACGCAGATGTGAAAAAGGTCAAGAAACCCCCACTTAACCCAGCTATAAGATAAGCCTGCCATTTCAAAGTTGTTTATAAAATTTGAGAAAATCAATGCAATGAAAACCCATGATTTTAACTAGTGAATGACAGTGATCACACCACATACCAAAGTTAATGAGGCATAAAATCCAAATGCTCCCCAGAATCTTGCCTCATCAGATAGTGCCTATAGGATTCATTTAGTCATATACCTCTTCAGTAGCCACATACCTCTTCAGTAGCCACATACCATACATATATATACACATAAACAATTTTACTCAAACACAGCTAAAACTTTTGCATGCATCATAGCTGAGCTAGTCATTATATAATTTATGCATAAGTGGGCAAGATTAAGTGTATTATCATGTCTAGCAGATCCACTTAGAATTATATATTCAGTATTTCGGCTTTTATGCATTAAGCATGGTTAAGTGAGATTCATGTGTGAAATAACTTGAATGCAAATTGGGGAACTTTACAGGGTATAACAGTTTAAGCTCCTTTATAACAAAACCACACATGAACAATTTGTGTGGAAAAAAAAACCATGCAAAAAGCTAGGTCCAGTCAATTTCTTAAAGAAAATTTGAATCTACAAAGTTGACCTCTTTTGATGTCTTGAGAACTGAAAAATCTTGGGAGAGGGGAAAAACACGAAAAATGATTCCTGGGATCAACAGACCAATAAGTGAGATGGGAGTGAACATCAAGAAAGCCAAGAAGGGATTCGCAAACCTGCATATCAATTTCAGCGCATCAACTAATATTTCAAACATTTGATCATTCAATCAATACTATGAGAAAATATCCCATGTTTGTCTTCCAGCTTAAGATGTACAACCAACCAGTTCATTCCATAACTAGAAAATGACAATCTCAGGATGGAAAATATAACTGGGAAAATTATAGCCAGTATAATTCCAGTAGCATGGAGGATCATTCCTGCATAATCAACAAATTTGAAAAAATTATAGCGGTCCAAAACAGCTTGAAGAGGACTACCAATATGATATTAAGAACCGAGAAGCAAAACTTGTTACAGGAAATTATTAATGAATTACAATAGTATATTGACTAAGTAATTAAACTGCCAAATAAATAAATTGAAATAGATTAATGATATGCAGTCATTTACCTTTTACAAAGTCATAGAAGGCTGCAAAACAACAACATAACCCAGAATTCAGCCAACGTAAAAAGAAAGGCATAATGAAGAAGATGGTGATGGGAATGCCATGAAGTACCACAGCTATCCTTCTTGAGTAGAATATCTGAAACAGCATAATCAAAATAAAACAATTGATATACCCATCATTGATGATAGGCAATTATTATCCAAGAAAAAATAATTCTAGAGCAAAGTGCATATTTTATACATGCACAATACCCACCATGAACCAGGTTAAGTAATCAAAGAAAACAGCTCGTTCATCATTGTAGTCATCACTAACACCAAGGGATTCTCTTTCATGAGCATTTTTAAGCTTAGAAGACTCTGCAAAGGCCTTAACCGTGCTATACAAATTGTCTCCACGTGCTTGCATGCTACCAGGTCTGTATTGAAAACAGGAAGGCATATATATGAGTGGAAGTGCTTAATACCAAAATATATAAATTTCAACTAAAGTGATTCTATGCCACAGGAGCAGATGTAATGCATACAATAGTCTCTCCACAGTATCATAGGAGGTATGGTAATAATAACCACCAAGAAGAAAAATAATATCCAAGCCAGGAATACTGCCATAATCTTGGGAAAACATCCTGTAATCTGTATCTCCAGGAATAATGGGGAAAACATCCTGCAAGTATAATAAATAATTCATCATTCAGTTACACCATCAATATACAGGAACTGGATTAACAGGACAGGAACCAAGTATACACAATTTCAGGGACAGCAGAAATAAATTACATCATGATAACTTTCACAAGGAAACATGTTTAAACTATAAATGGAAGTAATACAGTAAAAAAGTACTCCAAGAAAATAATTGCTCACCAGAGCATAGATATGACTAAAAAAGGATAAAGTAAAACCTGAGCTGCACTATGTGCCATGGGATATATTGCTGATTGAGCATAGACGTAAGAGGGCCAAGAACCAGGTCCAGATTGGCAGACTAGATCTGTAGTGTCAACAAATATGTAACTTAGGCATGGAAAACAAAAATGGAACTTCACGCAAGTCTACCAACAGAAATTTTCAATGGTTATCCAGATTAAGGTCATTTTAAGAAACCATGATGATAATGTTCTCACAGAATATTCTCTACTATAAGCAGTTATAGTATGAAATAAGGTATCACTTTATTTATCACAAACAAATCTTGATTACTTCACCAAAACAAAATGAGCTTTATTCCCTGGCAATGGCATCATCACTGGGTATGAACTGTTATTTTAGCACTCGGGGAAAGAAAAGCATTAGCATTGCCTTATATCCTACCAAGACCTCCCGTCCCAGAAGCTTCCACATTTATAAAAGCTCCAATGGAATCACGCCATTTATGCGTCCTCATGAAGCCATGTGCACCCTAAAATATCAGAAGCACTTCATAAGTCTGTATGAATATGATATTCAACAAGATTTATATCTTCAAACAAAGTTAACAAAATAATGTCAGCTTGAGGTTTGATTTTGTCAGTTTCATTTACATTTTCCTTTTCTCCCTGCCATAACTCCCTGCTATCCTTCCTATTGAGAGGGTTTAAAGTTTTGTCAACCGTTTCCCATTCTTCCAAAAGAATGAACTAAGTTTCTTCTTTGGTATGTTATGTCCCAAAATAAGTGTTTGCTACCACAAGTTTAGGCATTATTTCTTGAAGTTTTATAATCTATCACTTATGAAAAATATATATATATTTTTTATATAAAACTGCAGTAGTCTCAATTGAAATAATGGTCAAAGCATTATTATACTCCTTACCAACATAAAAACTTCTTCTGCACCATTGAATAATAAAATTATAGGCCGAGGTGGGACCCAGCCAGAGTCTATGGTTAGTCTTGCAATTTCCAACACTGTTGCTGCAAAAACACAAAGCATAAGGAAGATGTCTTCAACAAAATAGCCAATGTAATTTCAGCAATCAAGCTAAAAATATTCAATGTACTTACCAACACATGAACCACAATCACCAGCACCAGGGGAACCAAGTGGACTATCAAAATGAGCATTCATTAAAACTGATGGATCGGTGTCTTGTGAATCTATTGAGGATATCCTGTCAGTATTAAAAAAAAAAAAACAAAGAAGATGATGTGATTTGCCAAAAAGTTGCAATACTAAAACAGAGTGCTTTACAATGTAATGGTTAATTGCCTCTTAAAGCACAAAACATTAAAAAATTTGGGAATCTAAAGCATAATCAATCTTTTGACATTGATTCCATGATTAAGATAAGCCACTACTTACCACTTCTAGAATGCCTTAAACAATGATATCAGTAACTCTTTCCCTTCATTTTTCATGAGTCAAAGGCCTTAAAACTTTCTAATACAGTGTTCAGTTTTTCTATCCATGATCAAGCTTAAAATAACAAAGTTTCACACACTTCTTCAACACCCTAAATGATATGGCAGATGCAAGTGCAACTATGTCTTAGTCATGCAGTATAAAAGAACCATTATCACCAAAAAAGGATATGGATTTTCCCGACTATTATTTCTTTCATTACATTTCAAAGGGATTGAACAAAATGGCCCGCTGTAGATTTTAAGCGGGTCCCATCATTAAAAGTGGTCCCTACTCCCTACTTACATGCAAAGATGGATGCCAACAATAATAAGTAATAACTGATGCAGCCAAAAGGAAGGTAAGGAAATTTCCTAATCCTTCATTGAATGATTGACATAGTACCACAATATAAATCCAATCCAAAGAATCCTATTCAGTTTCAGAAATTTACCTCATCAAAATATTGGTATGATTTCTGTAACTCAATGATATGCTGTGGCCTAAAAACATCATATTGAATGACCCACCAACAACGTTCTCTTCAATCTCAACTCTGCAAGTTCATGAATTAAATCAAGTTGAGCAAGCAACTCTAAACAATTAATGAGAAATACAAAACCCATTTAGAAATTAGACAATTCAGCCTTAAAACAAATGTATACCAACCTAATATTAGACCCAGCTCTGTCCTTCACCCTTTCCAACCGTGCCTTAATGTACTGAGCCGCTTCTCTCAAACCCGGACGCCCTTCCTATTGAATAAAAAAACAAACATCTAATCAATAATATAAATCCCTATTCCATTATTTTTTTCATTTCAGCTTCGTTGAAATAAATTCAACTCTCCCCAGAGTTCACCTTCGCTCTAAGTAACCTCCAACCAATCAAAATTTGAATTTAAGAAGAAATATTAATGAGAAAAAACTAGTAATAATAACTTAAAGCTAGTCAAAACAAACAAAAATAAGTAGAAGAAATTATCGAAATCCTCATGGGGCATAAAGAAGTAAAGAGAAGTTAAAGATATGATGACGCACTTGTCGACCGTCGATCTCATGTGATAAGACTCGAACATGCTCGATAGCTCTGGCCTCGGAGAAGCGATCGAGAGGCGCGTCGATCCCCAACGGCTCGATGAACTTCATGTAAATTACGGAGTGAACCAGAATCGACATGAGACCGTACATGATCGCCAAGGAAAACAAGAATTTGAATCCGCAAACATCTCTGGCGTCGAACCTTAACGCCATTGTCTAACGAAGAAAACCGAAACCTCAATCTCACAGTATTGTCTTTCCTTTGTTTTTATCAAGTTTTTTAAAAAAAAAAAAAGTAATTGAAAGAATAACCAAAGTTCTGAGATTGAGAGGCCTGCCCAGCCCCAAACAAGGCTCGTATAATTGTTTAAAGAAAAAAGGACCGAGAGGCGCGTCAAACATGGTTTTTTTTTTTTTTTGGTAAGCAGAGTTGGAGCCAAGAATCTTCTACAGTGGGCACAAAAATTTTGCGGCACTCCCTCCAAGGACCTTGTTTTGTTATCGTCCAATTGCAGAGAAGCTCCTTGTATTTTATTGAAATGATGAAATTAGTCCCTTCACTAAAAATAGTAGATATTGAATTCATATATACAAAAACAATTCGCATAATTAAGTAAAATTAATAATGTGGTTAACTGCTGCAATTACTATAGCTGATGTTGGTGTTGACTTGTTTAACATAGTACTTGACTTTATATATATGACAAATTTTTTTATCCACTTGTGCATTAAATGTTGATGTTGTAATTTTATCTCATTTATTTGAGAAAAAAATACTGACATGGTAAATATTTTTATTCATTCACTTTAAAAAGTCATTCTGTCATTTTTTTTATATAGGTGATAAAAAATTTAGCTCTACATTAGCATTTTCCCTTTTTTTTTGTTCCATCGTGATTTTTTTCTTTCCATTTTTTCTTTTTTTTTTCTCTCCAATCTTATTAACCCTAAAACAACCCCATTTACTTTCCACAGTTTTTCGTATTAATGGCTTCTACCTAGCTATGATTTTTTAATTTTATCTAACTTAACTAATATTGTATACAATTGAGGTCCAAACATTGAGTAGCAGATGGGTTTTAAGAGTTGCTAAGGTCTAATACCATATTGAAAATTAGGTTGTTAGAGAGGTATGGTTGAGGTTTGGACAAGAAGTCTGGACGAGTAGATGATATTGTTAAGATCGATTAAAATCTAGAAGAGTGAAATTTGAAAATGTCGAATACAAAAAACAAGTTTGGTAGGTTTGAAATTTTCTACTAATTTTTGTTTACAATAATTAAAATAACAAAAAAGATATGATTCATAATCAAATGAACCAAGCGTTTATAATTATGAATAATAGTTACTAATTTGTTAATAATTTCATTCTACTCATTATATGTTAAGACATGCAACCTTCATTTATGATTATAAAAGTGATACTGTGTATTGCTATTGTGGACTTAAAGCTCCATTAATGACATCAACTAGTGATGACAACCTTGGAAGAAGATTTTATTTATTGTAGAAACTATCAGGTAATTAATTTTGCTATGATGGATGGAATAGATGATTCTCTTATGATGAACATTTAGGAAAGCTTAGGATTTGTTTGGTTAATTTGAATGAGGTATTATAAAGACAACTTAAGATTTCTTTGATTAAATTGAATGAATGCTACTTGGTTATGCAATTTTGTTTGTTAGGACAGCATTGGTTTTAGTTTGGTTTGGTTATGTTTAGTTGTGTTACATTTCAAGACAGTTTAGAAAAACTCATAGATAAAATTTGTTGGTTGTATGCAAGTTAAATGTTATGGATTTTTTTTTGTATGATGTGGAATTAAATGAAAAACATGTAAAAGCAGTTATAATTGAGTAAGATATGCTAATAAAAGGTTAAAACAAGAGAATTCTAAATTGATGTAGGATAACAAAGCATTGAGAATTGAGCTAAAGAGTAAAGATGGATGTGTAAGGTAAAAGATGTCTTCTAGAATCAACATTGAATACTTGATGGATGAAATTGCTACATTAAAAGTTGAAATTAAAATTCTTCATGGAGGTTTGACGAATGCCAAGGTTGAGGGAAGAAGAAAAGCAAAAGAAATTTTTTTTATAAATATGCTTTGATATTTAGTTGGATAATATTGTTTTCTTCAAGAATAGAACATGGTAGTGATGATATGATACAAAATGATTTGTTAGGCTTGCCATAGTGGTTGTATAATTTGAACAAAAATATAACAACTCATTACGTTATATGGCTTTAATGGTTATTTTTATGCTATATAATGGTTTTGTTTAAGATACCTTGTTTTTTGGCATTTACATTCAAACATTATAAAGTATAATTTTATACTTTGAAAACATAATAAAGCACAATAACACATAATTTGGAAAGGTATAATTTCATTTCATTTTCAAAATGTCACAAATTGCTTAGTTTCTAATATACAGAAAATTTCCATCACTATTATTTCAATATACCATAAAAAAAATGAGACCAACAGATGCTACATACAAAAAATTCATCAATTATCATTCCAAAACTTATACTAGTAGCAGATGTTATATACAAAACATGATGATAACAAATGTTACATACAAAAAAATTTCATTACTAATAACAAATTCCCAAAATGCCGATAGTAGAAACATCACGCCATTCCTAACAATATTTATAATTCCATAACTTTTTCTTTTCCTTTCTTAGATGTAGTTGCAACATTTTCTTGTGTAAAAATTGTAGGCAACTCTAGAACTCCTTTGAAAACCTTTATAGATTCCTTTTGTCTTGACTTTCAGTCTGTTTCTGATTCCTTTGTGCCTAATAGTAAAAAAATTAAAATATAATATTACCAATCCTAATGAATAATATTGAATGAAAATAATTGATGTGCATTAAATTAGTTACCAGTAATCGATCTGTGGTAATGCATGAAGTAGGTTTTCTTATTTTTTTTCTAATAATTATCTCACAAGATCTAGTAGGCTTTATGAATATAATTGTTTTAGTTAACATTATATAATTGTTTCAGTTACCAATATCACACTGTTATAGGCATTATGAATAGAAATATGATTAAAGTCTTACTTACATTGAGAATAGATAATCCATTATCAGGGTTTAGATATTACTTTTTTCATTTTCTTTCGATCTCTTTTTGAAGGGACATAAGTCTGTTTGTAGCAAATTGTAGCACATTGTTTTGGTATTAATAATTAACCCAATTATGACAAACTAAAATTTGACACAAATTGAAAAGTACATTCTTGTTACTGGTTGCAAATTTTTTATTTGATTTCTTTGCACAAGGTTTGAGAACCTTGACCACAACCCTACAACATTAATTAATATATTCAACTTAAAAACAAGTCCAAGCTTAAACATAAACTAAAATAATAATATGATAAATACCCACTTCATGTCCATGTCCAGTTATCAATATTATTTTGTTTCTACCATTGCCTATGCAATTGGAAACATTTGATTGTTTCTATCCCTTCATATTGCCATAAGTAACTGACCTTTAACTATTTTTTTTTTAAATTCATCAAAACCAATAATGTGTCTATAACCATTTAAAAAATTTTCTTTGATAGCTCCAAAACATGCATACATATTCTAAAAAACAGGTAATGAATCTAGTATTGGTCTCTAAAAATAATAATGATAATGTTTTCAGGGTTTGTACACTTCAGCTTATTTGCGTAATCATTCAAAACTTTAAATTCTTCATTATATTTCTCTTTCATTTTTTTTAATAATCAACCCATTTGCTGCTTTGCATACACTAAAAGTTACAAGCATACCTAATTCTTTCCTCACTAGTGCTCTCAAATACCTAAGTTTAATAAATGGCATAGAATTAATCACATCTCCATATTTTCTTTCTAACCACATCTCATGTACTTTGACAATTAAGTCTTACATACTTATCATGTTCATTGTGTCATAATTTTTCTTATTTGAAGATTATACAATCCTTTTAAGAGTTACTTTATTATTTATACAAAATGACTTTCTTAAAATTTATCACATGATGATGGAAGTTTTAGATTAGTAAGGACAAACTTAGATTTATGAAAAATTCATCTTCAATTCATAACATAAAAGTTATCAATGCATGATTTTAAATAAATAATTCATGTATCAAACAATCATACATACAATTCATAAGTAAATAAAACTTATTTGTTTTTGGTGACTACTATCATGATCATATTTTTGGTGGGAGTTATTCCTTTATGAATCCATATAGCCATCTTAAATGCATTTCATCACTCTCAAATGTCTTAAACCTCTCTATATCGGTTCCAATATTAAAAAGCACAAAATTAGTATAAAGGTTATTAAAAACAAAATATGCAAATCAACCAATCTTATTATTGTAGACCTTTTACTACTGGATAAGTCTAAAGATTGTTGGTATTACGATCACTTTTAATGAAGATGGTTCCAAGTCCCTTCCTTGTTAAAGTACATCCCTTATACCGGTTGTTAAATATTGGCTCCAAATGGAAAATCGAAAACTAAAAGGAAACGACTTTAAGTCATGTTATGAAAACACTTTCCTTTATACTTATTTGCCTACACCATTTCTTGGGAAGCAACAAGAGTTGTTAAAATAGTTTATGAGATACAATGAAGTATTGTTTGAATTCACATCGCATTAGTAAGATTTAAATCACCTAACACTTTTGAAAAGGCAAAAAAATGTCTAGTCTTAGACTAGTTTATTGTAGCAAAACAAAGTCTAAGAGATTTGTCTTTTTTTTAGAGTGAAAGGAAGAAGAATTTGACAGAGTTTTTACACATATTTTTAGCATTAAAAACTCATTACAAAGTACTTCTAGCCATTTCTATTTATAAAAAATGAACCTAAAGATTGTGTCATTTAACTTGTGTCATTTCAATGAAGTAACATGTCTTTATATATTAAAGACACCTTTATGAATAATTATGGATAGAATTATTCACCTTTTTTATAGTGAAAGATCACTTATCTCATTCCAAAAATAATCATTTAAAAAAGTCACACTTTTTGGTCAAACACAATGATGGTATTTGAATTCCCTTCATGGGTATTGAATGCCTTAGTGATTTTCTATTGAATATCATGAAACAGTGAATGGGCATTCAAATGTCCTATGAGGGTATTTGAATACTGTCAAACAAAAAGTTGGTATTTGAATGCCTAAGAATGGCATTTGAATACCTTTAGCTAAAATTTCACTTTTTCAACTCAAACATTATTCCAAAAGATGTTTTATGCTTACTTAACTTTGATTTCTCATAATTTGTGATTAAGTCTTATGTTTAATCAACTTTCTTTCACTATTTTGAAAATATTTCCAACAGCTTCTAGGTCTAGGTTAAACTTAATTAAAAAACTTATAGATCTCACATGTATTTTTTGTTCTAATATATTGAATATTAAAATTGGAAACTTTAACATATGGTATCTAACATATTTGAGATTTAAATTTTAACATTTATAATATTTTATTTCCTAATTTTCTTTATGTAAAAAATCTATAAAACTACTTTAAAATTGTTACATTATATTCATTTAAAAACATATCAATATTGCTTTTGTAACAATAAAAAAGTGATCCAAAAATCAAAATAGTCAATACTATATCGGTGGACAAATAGTTTTTATTTTGATTTGGTATGTACAAGTATTAATGTGTTTTCATATATAGTTTTTAGTTTAGCGGTATTTTTACAATTTTCATATATATAATAAAAATGTTATAAAAATGTAAATATTAACCATTATCTAAATATATAATGAAAGATATTTAGGTTTTTTAATTAAAAAAATTATTTCATAAAATAAAATATTCCATGCCTTCTATTTTGTATTTGTATGTATGACATTATGCCTTAATTGATATTAAATTGTTGAAAAATCAAAATATTATAAATTTAAAAGTATGAGATTTAACCAATGATTTTTTAAAATATAAAAAATAAAAATAATATATGCCTTAAAATTTAAAAACAATGGGTGCTATTTACCCTTATTTTATCTTTACTACTAGTAGTTACATAAATCACTGTCATTTATCCTTAATTAGTCATTATTTGTTAGTGTACGACTTGGAACTAATAAAGATTAATAGTAACTACTTTGATATAATATATATTCTTAATTATAATCCTTACCTAAATAGCTCTTGTGTTGCATACTAATTACTAAAGAATTAAAATAACGTAAAATTCTTTTAAAATTCACTTTATTTAGATAAATTTTTTATATTTTTATTATATCTAAATAAGTTATTAATTCTTAATTTGCATCCAAATAAATTATTAATCTTTAATTTGTAATTAAATAAGCCTTTAAAAGTCTTTTGGTATGCGAATTTTTAGATTTCGTGAGAAAAAGTTATTTCGAAAACAAATGATATTGAAGGAGAATGTATAATTTTTTAGTTTCATTGATTTAAGAAATATAATATTTTTATATTTGATTTAGAGGAATGTAAAATTACCTGATAAAATATTTTATTATATTATCTCTAATGACACGTAATAAGACGTGACATTCATAATATGTTACACATAAATAATATGTTGTTTTCGTTGAAATTAAATAATTTTAAAAAAATTTCATATTTTCAACAAAAATAATTTTACAATTCTAATTACTACTTTTACATTAATTGTCCCTACATAAAGAAAAAACACATGTCGACCTTTTTATCTTATTAAGTAAATATATTTTACATTTTATTTTAATTTTGTCATGAGTAGCAATAAGGACTACATTTTTTTATCTTAAAAACATAATCTTTATTAAGATTTCAAAATTTCGATAATAAAGTTTTAACATCTACTATGTTTTTTATATTAAAAATGCAATCTTTTGTTAAAATTTTATAATTTTGAAAACAAAATTTCAACATCCATTACTTTTTTTATCCTAAAAAATGGTATGTGGTAAAATTTAGAATTCCAAAAATAAAATTTCAACATTCATTACGTTTTTATCTTAAAAACACTATTTTTGTTAAATTCTAAAATTTCAAAAATAAAGTTTTAACATCTACTATATTTTTATTTAAAATATGATTTTTGTTAAAATTTTAAAAATTTGAAAATATAGCTTTGACATCGATTATATTTGTATCCTAAAAACATAGTATTTGGTAAAATTCTAAAATTTTGAAAATATAGTTTCAACGTTCACTATATTTTTATCTTAAAAATATAATCTTTGTTAAAATTTTACAATTTTAAAAATATATTTTTATATCTATTACATTTTTATTTTGAAAACACGATTTTTTGTTAAAATTCCAAAATTTTGAAAAAAAAAATATTTCAACATCTACTACTATTTTATCTTAAAAACATGGTATGTGTTAAAATTTTAAAATTTTAAAAATATAATTTCAACATCCACTATATTTTTTAATTTAAAAATGTAATACTTGTTAAAATTATAAATAACGAAAATCATATTTATTTTATAATTTTAAAAGATTAGAAAGAATAAAGTATAATTTTTACTTTCTCTTTGAAATAAAAAAAAATGCAGGAAGAAAATTTTTTTTTCATTCTCCCTTTTTTTTTTTTTTCTTTTTTGACACTACTAAAAATTTTAAAAAATTTTAAAAATTATATGAATCAAAATAAAAAATCAAATTATAAAAAATAAGAATCTGACTAAAAATTTTAATTTTTTCACAAATCAAATGTTTTCTTAACATAAATCAATTATTTGAAGTAAAGACTCATTTAAATAAAAATTAAAAATAAAAAATTATTTAAATATAATAAAAATATAAAAATTTATTAAAAAGTTAATTTTAAAATTTTTAATATTTTAGCCATACTAAAATTGGTGAAAGCCCTACGAACCCCCGAGCCACCGCCATGGCAATTAAAGTTAATTCATTGTATATACTACTAGTTACTATTATCAAAATATTGGTGCTGCTTTTCACCCACCAACTTTTTTTTTTTTGCCCACAGCTCATAGCCTCAATCAAAGAGCGATCCAATGCCACGATCATGTTTCTTTGCGAACGACGTCAGTTTTTTTTTTTTTTTTTTTTTTAATTTCGAGGTCGAAAGATTGATTAATTTTTTATATTAAAATAAAATATATCATATCTCATAATTTAAAATAAATAATTATAAATTATATATTTAAAATAATTTTAATAAATAATTACCGATCAATTTTAAATTTAACTTTTTTTTATAAAAAAAAATTTTAATTAATTTAATCATTGATAATATAATTTTGAAGTTTTTTTAAGAGTACAATCCTTTTTATTAATACAAAATTTTTTACTCACCCAATTTCACGCAATCATGAACTTAGTAACTCTTTTGCAGCCGGTACATCATGCCACATCATGATTTTGATGTCCCACCATTTAATGTATTTTCACCACAAATGTCATGTTACCCAAAAAAATCAAGCAAAATGCTCATTAAGTCAAAATATATCTTAAAGTTTAAAATTAGATTGTTTTGAATACAATACATGCAAATAAATAAATAAATAAAAGTGATATTATTTAAAATTTTAATAAAATCATACATAAATTTAATAAAAATTTTAAAAATATATTTTGTATTTAATATATAAATACAAATTATTATATGATAATTTTATTTTTAATATATATTTACCACGAAATAAACAAAATATAACACAAGGATGATCAAATTTATTTAAAATCTACTTATTCTAAGCATAATTAATTATAGAAAAATCAGAAAAAAGTGTTACTATAAATTCATAATTTCCAGCTATTTCAAGTATAAATTTAGCGTTTCTTAGAAATTATAACAGTACATAAAATATTTATTTTATTTTATTTTATTTTTTGATAAAAAAGTTCAAAAAATTTTAAAATTATAATTTAATAATCATTTAAATTTTTATTTTTTTCAATCAATTAAACCATCAAATATCTATTTTTATTAATTAAATTTTAATTAAAAAAGTATTAATTTTTTTAATATAATTAAAGATTTAATTGAATGAAAATAAATGTATAAATATTTAATTAGTTGAATATATAATTATAGTTTCAATTGATTTAAATAAAATATTTAAAATTTGATGAATTGTAATAAAATTTTATGAATTTAAATGTTTATTAAATTTTTATTTGAAAATTTTTTTTAACCCTATGCTTTTATGCTTTTAAGTTTTTTGTTTTGTTTTGCTTCAATCATGGATAAATATGAGAGCTAAAAGACAATCAACGAAAACATTTTAAGACATGGAAGCGCAGTTTAAAAAACAGTAAGCAAAAACCAAAGGGAGATCTCTCTCTATCTCTCGAACTGCCCTTTTCAGAACAATGTACGGTAAATCTGCAATCTGTTTAACATTCGCCGTTCTCTTCCTGATTTCATGTTCAATCTATATCGGGACTGTTGATCTCAGATCACACTTCTTCCCCTTACTACAATCGTCCCCGGTTCCACTCTCACTATGTGCAACAGATCGTCCCCTCCGCGTTTACATGTACGATCTCCCTAGGAAATTCCACGTCGGCATGATGGATCGTTTGAGCTCCGAGGAGGCGGCTCCCGTGACCATGGAGAATTTGCCGCCCTGGCCCTCGAATTCAGGGATAAGGAGGCAGCACAGCGTGGAGTATTGGCTGATGGCATCGCTTATTTACGACGGCGACGGCGAAGAAGAGAGGGAGGCCGTTAGGGTTTCCGATCCCGAAACTGCAGATGCGTTTTTTGTGCCATTTTTTTCCTCGTTGAGTGTAAATACGCACGGCCATAATATGACGGATCCTGAAACGGAGGTCGATCGCCGATTACAGGTACCTAAAATGTTAATTGGTCGCTTTAATGCTTTTTTCGCAGTTGCCTTGTTTTTTTAGCAGCGTTTCACTCTGGAATTTTATTTGGAAGTTTTTGTTTTTAAATAATAATGTTATTAATGGTTTACTATGTTTGAGGAAAGGAAAAAATTACTTTTTTTTTTGTGATTCCAATTTAAATCACTTCTTTGGTTATTGAATTCCAGTAAAATGGCAGACTTTGGCTTTCTGGGAGATGAGATTAGATGTTGGTATCAGTGGAAGTTGTAAAAGAAGAGCATGTTAAGAATTTTAGGTACATTTAACAATTGATTATATGAAAGGAAATGAAGCTTTGGTGGTGCTTTTGACTTGTTTGAAAAATTAGCCAATTGTTTAGGAACTAGCATTGTGGAATGATAAATGGTTGGATTTTTCTTGGAATTGATTAATGAAATGTTGCTTTCAAACATCCATACACGTAAATAACTTGAGTTAATTTTTTGCTCATGATCTATCCAGTCCTTAGTCAATGTTTCCATTGATGGAAATGATTACTAGAGAAAGGAGGACCTATAGGGCTGTATATGAACTAAATATAAACGAACGAACGTATGTTTGTGGTTTATTCATTTATTTTTAGAGGTGTTTGGGCTTGGTTTATCTTAGGTAAGAAAATTGCTCTAGTTATTCGAGCTTGGTTTGTTTAAATGATAGGATATTCATGTTCGATTCATATTTGGTTCAATTAAGTTAAATGAACTTATTCATGAACATTAAACGAATATGTTCACGAACATATTCATGAACAATAAACAAACCATAACCAAACAAATTTAGACAAACAAATCCTAAACGAACTTAAACTAACATAAACAAACCCTAAATTAAGATTAGGGTAAAGGATAAAAATGTAGTTTTGTTATTATTGTTATAAACGAACAATAAACGAATGAATTTTAAATGAATTTTAAATGAACTTTAAACGAGTTTGTTTGTGAACATAAATGAACCAAACAGACCTCTATTCATATTCAGTTCGTTTAATAAACGAACATAAAAATGCTGTTTGAAATAATTTGTTAAGCTCAATAAACGAATTTGTTAAGCTCAATAAACGAATATAAATGAATAGAAACCGAACATGTTCACGAACGGTTTGTCAAAAACTTTATTCGTTTACACCCCTAAAGACTTATGCATGCTTCTTGCTATTATTTTGAATAAATGCTTATTATTATTGTCTTGATCTTTTTTTTTTTGGTTAAAGCAAACATTTATATCTTGTCTTTTACTATCTGCAAGCAAGCAATGCAAAAGAATTAGGACCCAGGTTGCTGTAAATATTATCATGCTTCCATCATTAGGATTCTGTTATACTAAGATACTAATATGTGGAGGCAATACTAAAAAACTATTTTTCCCCACTGGTGGGGATGAGTTTCTCCAGTTTCTAATTCAATCTTTGAGTTTTACTTGTACCATACACTTCTATTGTTATTTGATATTTCAGTTTTCCAATGTGAATTGCTTCTCATTTCAGGTTGAGTTACTTGAATTCTTGCGACAATCCAAGTACTATCAAAGATCTGAAGGCAGAGACCATGTAATTCCCATGACACATCCAAATGCTTTCAGATTTCTTCGACAGCAGTTGAATGCATCTATTCTTGTTGTTGTAGATTTTGGTCGCTATCCTAGAACCATGTCAAGTCTAAGCAAAGATGTGGTTGCCCCATATGTACACGTTGTGGATTCCTTCACAGATGATGACCCTCTGGACCCATATGAGTCTCGAACTACACTTCTTTTCTTCCGGGGAAATACTCTTAGGAAAGATGTATGATAGTTCCTAAGAGACAAATATTCCATTCATAAAACTTCTGTTTAATCTGCATATTATTACACAACTTGAGACCATTTTCTGTTGCAGGAAGGCAAAATTCGAGTCAAATTGGCAACGTTGCTGGCCGGTAGTGATGACGTTCATTACGAAGAGGGTATAGCAACTCCAAAAAACATTAAAATGGTATGCTGCTTATCCAGGCCCTAAGATGTTTACTATTTTCTAGACATTCAAATCACAAAGTGGCGATCCTTCTTTCCAACTAACATTTTTTGGCAGTGGAAATGGACTTGCTTGTCAATACATGTTATGGTGGCTTTCAACAACCATGAGTACTAAGTTTAAGTTACCTTGCCTGCTTTCTCTCTCTCTCTCTCTCTCTCTCTCTATATATATATATATATATATATATTTTCTCTTTGGATGTTTTGACATGGAGTGATACTTCTGGATCTTAGTTTCTGACAATAAATTTGTAATGAAGACCTATTAATGGAAACATTTTTTCACTATATAATGGTTACTGATTCTTTCAAAAGTATTCAAAATCTGAAACAAAATAATCTCCTTATCCAGCTGTAGGGAAAGTTTGGAGTCATTTTGCATTTTTCAATAAAATTTTATGCTATAACTATACCATTCCCTTATTTCTTTCATCCTCTTTTGTGTTAGTCTACAGAAGGGATGCGTTCGTCAAAGTTCTGTCTGCACCCTGCAGGAGACACACCTTCATCTGGCCGACTATTTGATGCTATCGTGAGCCATTGTGTTCCTGTGATTGTCAGTGACAGAATTGAGCTTCCCTATGAGGATGAAATAGACTACACTGGATTCTCAATTTTCTTCTCTATGAAAGAGGCATTAGAACCAGGTTATTTGGTCAATCAGCTGCGTCAATTTCCAAAGGATAGATGGGTTGAAATGTGGAGGCAACTTAAGAATATTTCCCGTCATTACGAATTCCAGTATCCTCCGAAGAAGGAAGATGCTGTCAATATGTTGTGGAGACAGGTAAAGCACAAGCTTCCTGGGGTCCAACTAGCCCAACACAGAAGTAAAAGGTTGAAAGTGCCTGATTGGTGGCGGCAGAAGAGATGATTTCCGAATCTTGTTTTTATGATACTGTACACCACAATCTTTTTTTTCATTGACGGTGACATCTCATGGCGGGCAACAAGCAAAGGTATTCAGAAGTCACAACCCAACATCATGGGCCAGCTTTACCGAGCTCAAGAGTTACGATGATCCTGGTTTCAATTTTTTCCCTCTCAATTTTCCCAGCATTATAGTGAAGGCCGTCAGTTAAGATTTATTCCCAGTTTTTGTCTGGCAACAGCTTATAATGTTTTTCATCATATTTGATGGTGCAGAAGCGAGTTATAGAAAATGTAATGACAATACGATTTACACATCAAGAAAAATGCGAGAGGTTGTTTCGAATAGGTTCTAATCTTCGCATTCAAATATTGTATAAGAGTTATTCGTTTAAAGTGATCAATCTAGTTCATGTACCAGAGAAAACTAGTACATTCTTTTATTGCCTTGGCGTGAGACCTTAGGAAAGATTAGAATTGATTTAGCCTGGATGCAATTTCAGTATTAAAGTCGGTGAAATATTGCTGTCACCTGGAAATTCTAGAACCCTTTTTTCAACTGCTCCAATTGAGATCTTCAACGATCCGAACTGAGGATTTCAGTTGGAAGCCGTCATATTTCATGTAGAAAGTCATTCTTAGGCTTAGCTTTTATATATAAAATTATTAAAATGAGGCTTCCTCATCCCCATGCCCTCTCTGCTTCCATTTGATTGGATTTCAGCCATGAAAAAACTTTGGGAATGTGACCAACCAACTCGTTGCTGACCAAAGTTGATTACCGACTAAGAAAACTTCATTCCGGGTCAAATTTCTGATCGATCTGGGACATTTTTTTTACGTCTTGGCCAGCAAATGCTTCTGAAAGTCCCAATAGCCTACAGCGTGTTTAGCAACTTTGAAGACCAAAAGGATTAATAAAAGAAAAAAAATAATATAAAAACTTGAAAGTAAAAGCCGTACCTAAACCACTGTTAGACGTTTCCAGAAAAACCAGTATAGAACTTATAAAATTCAGAGGCAAATATTAATCCATCTCTACCACCATTTTTTTTTTTTTTTTTAATTCAGAGGAGAGTGATTGAGTGCCCCTCTTGCTTTAATTTCGGATTTTGCAAATTAATTAAACACAAAACCAACAACAAATTAAAAAAATGATAATCTCAGAAAATTATAATAAGTAATCCCGAATTCAAAAAATAGAAGTGATGCTCCTATTTCTAAAATTCATTCTGATCTTTGGAAGCCAACCCCTATTCACTCCCTCCAGAATTATTGTTATTATGTGATCTTTGTTGTGAGGAGAATGTTAGAATGAAAGATTAAAAAAAAAAATCTCACGTCTTATACATTACCATAAATTGGGCACATAAATATAACCAAAAAATCTCTCTACTCATTATTAATTAATTTTAGATTAAATACCCATAAAAATTTAACAAAATTCACCAGAGACTAATCTTAACTTAAAAGTTTTAAAAAATAATAAAATAAAATTAATAGGGGGGTCTTAAATGTTAACATGCAAAGTAGTCTGACATGTTTTAAGTTTCTAAAATTGAAAATGAGTATCATGTTCGAGTTGTGTCCAAAAAAAAAAAATTGTCTAGCTTGAAAGTTTTTTTCTCACGAGAGAATAAATATAGCACTGTAATTATAATAGAGTCGGATAATTAGCACTAAATTAATTATTCATCTAATTTTAAAACTTAATGAGTATAATTATAATAAAATAAAAATTAATAATTTCAATTTTATATAATAAAAAATTAAAAATTTATTTACATTTTAATGTAAAGTTTAATGGTTTATTTAGATATCAAGAATAAAGAAAAAGCCTATTGACTTTTTAGATAAACTAATATGAAACTAAAGTTAACGTTTAAACATTTCAATGCATTAAGGATAAAGAATTTAAAGATAAATTAAGAATTAAAAAAGTAGAGGAGAACACAATTGAGGGTTTATTCGGCGCACTTAAATCTAATCAAAATTTGGATGAGTTGGTGTAATCTGCGACTATTGCTTTTACTAACTCAATAAATGTCGATGCCATCTGTATCTGAATCGGCTGTTGAAAGTCTGTCTCGAGACTGGAGAGCCAGGGACGGTGCTATATGGTATTTGATTATTGAATGTCATAGCTGATTGTCCACATATAGATACTTATACACAATGATAATTTTTAAAATTAACCTACAACCGGCTTCACCGAAGCTTCACCGAGGTTCTAATACGAATCAAATTTCATCTTTTGGGATTCTGGGTTCTTCTGAAAAGCAAATTCTAAACCATGCATTTATTATGCATTAAACAAAGATAAGCCCACAATTTGTCTAAAAATGTGGGGTGGAAGAAACCTTGAGCTTTTGGATAGATTAATAAATCACTCCAGCCACCTTGATTTTGTGTTGTTGAGTGGTGTTGTCGCCTGCGAATGGATCTGGTCATGTGTGCGCTGCTTCGGTCAACACCAGCAATGTAGCAACCAGATTTGGTTGCCAACAGAAGCCCAAGAATCTGGAAAAACCAGATTTGATCGCGACGGTCCTTTAGTATCACGTCAATGACATCTGGTCAACGACATCGGAAATATTTATCAATTATATTTTTTTATTTAATAGGTAAGTTTTTTCATACTAAATGTTACGATGGATAAAAATAAAAGAATAGGGTTGAATTGACCCTAAAAAGAGATGAGAGATCAAAATGAATTTTATTAATAGTTTCAGTGCCAAACTTATCACTATGTCAATTAAAATTTGCTCTCACGGACAGATGAAATTGCCATTACTGCTTCTCTTTTTTGGCATAACCAAAAAAAATTAGGCCGAATTCTCACATATGAGGTGACTACTGTAGGAGCTGGATGAAAGTTCAAGCAATTGACCAACTAGGATCCATTCTCGAATTTCTAGAACAGGGATTTTATAAAATGTTGATAATTTTGAAATTTGTGATCCAGTCCAATAGCCACCAAACAGGCGGGAATCAGGGGCGGATCTACGTAGAAGCATGTGGGGGCCGATGCCCCTACTGAGTTCGTAAAATCTTTTGGGTTTATTATAAAACATATCAAAAGTTTTAAAATTTTAAAATTTTGCCCTTATAAAAAAATTCTTTGTGATCATATTTGCCTCCACTAATTTAAGGTTCATACATAAAAATTTTCGTTATTTATCTAATAATTAAACATTAACACTTTAACTGGTAAGCAATATCATTATAATATATATATATATATTTATGTATATTTTCGAGTTTGTAAAAAATAAAATAAATTATTTTTAGAGAATTTGAAATTATTAAACTTTTAATTTCTTATAATAATTTATTTAAATTAATACAAGCTGATCTTATAAGGATAATGAGATATGGAGCTTGCACTACTTAAATGATTTAATCACTTTTTAACACAAAAAATAAAAAAAATGAAGTAATAAAATAAATAATCATCTTCATTCTTCTTTTTATTGTATGTAAGAAAAAGAATAATTTTTTATTTTGCAAATTATAATGAATAAAAATCAAATATATTTGTTTATTAAAAGCATATGATAAAATAAACATATTAAGAGTAAATAATAAAATTAGTCATGTTAATTTTTATTTCATTTTTTCACATATTATGTTTATCTTTAAGAATTTTGTAAGTAAAATTTTATTAAATTAATATTTCTATATATATGTGTGTTTATTATGATAGATGATTTATTTAAATAATGTTTAGACTATATTCATCAAAAACTATATAATTAATTATGCAAATATTATTTATATTGCAAAACAATTTTTCATTTATAAAAAATATTATACGTGTTAATTTTATTTGTAATTTTTAAAATTAATTTATATTTCAATGAAAAAAATTTCAAATTAACTTAAAGTATTTGTTTCCACTTATTATAAATCCTGACTTTGTCTTTGGAGTGAATGATTTGCAATTTAATTAATTTAATTAATTATTTCAAAAAAATAATACTTAAAAAATTTAAAATTTGAGTCAAAATATTTATAATTTTGTTATTAAATTACGATTTTTTATTTTAAATGGGACAAGTAGTGTCGTTGGAGATCTAAGGCGGCTACTGCTTTGTACACACATTTGGCGCAAAGTTGTGTGCGTCAGAGATATAGCCTCTCTTAAGTCGTCAACTCTTGGGCTTAGCAAACCATCTCTAGTATTTTTCTTTTTGTTTTATGCTAGCAGTGATTTTTGTGCCTATTTCAAAATTTTCTTTTCTATTGTTTGATTGATCATTACCACTAAACAATGTTTATGAAAGCAATAAGTTAACTTAAAATTGACATGTATGTTTAAATAATTTGAAGTTAATAACTATTCAACCCACTTATTATTATTGATGATATGATTCTAAGGGACCAAATCAACAAAATCAACAAAATCATCAAAGATTACCAAAATAATAAATCAAATTAGGAAGGGAGCGCTCAGTTTTATATTATAATATTATCAAATCTATTTGGGAGTCATGACCCCAGCTTTCTCCCTAGATTCACGTTTGTTCTAACATAGTATATTTTTCAACCACTACTATAAAATAAAATCACCTACTAACAAATTATTTGGTGGGTGCAACATTTCAGTATATAAAAAGAAGTGTCATTGAAGCCATATTGCAAAAGTGTTAAACCATGGCAGATTGGACCAGCAAGACCATCCTTAGAAACGATGCCCTTCTACAGGTATATCATATGACATGAGTTATCTGCATCTCTTCTTTTTTTTTCTTTTTCTTTTATAATTACAATGTCTATAATTTTTAACTTTTGGGGGGGTAAAAAATAATTAATGCTCTCATCGTATTGCAGTACATCTACCAAACAAGTGCCTATCCCAAAGAGCACGAGCAATTGAAGGAATTAAGAGAGGCCAGTGCCAAGAAGTATAAAGATTTGTAAGTTTATCGTATTTCTATTGTTTTTACCTTGATATAATATTCTTGTCAACTCTATCTTTTTTGTACCCGGTGGCACATCTAAATGGGATAGTAGGATATTTATAGACAACTCAAAAATTAAAAAATAAAAAAAATTGGAAAAAAACAATTGTTCAGGACATGCTCAAAAATTTTCCTTAAACATCATATTCGTTAATAAAATTGATAAATTGTTTTTAATAATATTATAAGTGGATACTAAAAAATCTTGAATCTGCTGCTATTGGTACCAACATTATTTTGGAAGAGAAATTTAGAGAATATAACACATTCAAAAATGCCATATATGTACTTGATTTTCTATACAGGAGCGTCATGAATGTGCCTGTTGATGAAGCACAGTTCCTATCTATGCTTCTGAAGTTAATGAATGCCAAGAAGACCATGGAAATTGGGGTTTTTACAGGTTATTCCCTGCTGGCTACCGCTCTGGCATTGCCCGACGATGGCAAGGTATGATTTTATGTTATTCTTAGCGATCACTCTGTTTTTCTCTTTTTGTTGCTTATACTTGTCGTTATTTTTTTTTAGTAAAATGATCTTGCAGTGAGCTGATTTGATTCCTAAGTGCCGAAGTAAATCATCATTTTGGCAGGTAATAGCAGTTGATCCTGACAAAGAAGCCTATGAGACCGGATCAACATTTATGAAGAAAGCCGGCATGCAGCATAAGATTAAATTCATCCCATCCGATGCCTTCTTAGTTTTAGATGATCTGATAAAAAATGTAAGTATATGTATCATCATGCTTAATTAATAAGAATTTAATCCTCTATATTAAAGTGAAAATGAACTCGAAAGTTAATCCAATTGATTTATATAATCATTTTTAAAAAATAATATTTTACGAATTCAAATTCTAGCATTTGTAAGTTTTTTTTAATCCCTAACCATTATTTTATTTGTATTAAAAAATCTCACATTTATTAAATTAAAAATAATCAAAGTACATAAATTTAACAAGAACCTTTTCATTTATTATCATTTGATTTTAAATTAAAAGCTCATTTAAAAATTTAAAATTTAACACCAATTGATAATATATATATATATATATAATAGTGAAAACCAAAATTTAACTAATGTGAGATTTTCTTTATTAATAATTGAGTCTTGATTTTCAAACTTTGTAGGGGGAAGAAGGAACCTTCGATTTCGTATTTGTGGATGCTTATAAGAGTGATTATCTTAAATTTCATGAACTGGTCATAAAATTGGTCAAGATTGGAGGAATAATAGCTTACGACAACACTTTATGGTATGGCTCGGTAGCAGAATCAGAGAAGGAAGTGATGGACGACCTAATTAAGAAGTTCAGAAATTTTGTGATCGAATTCAATAGCTTTATTGCAGCTGATCCTCGAGTTGAGTCGTCGATCCTTTCCATTGGCGATGGTCTCACTCTCTGCAGGCGTCTCTACTAAACAAAAACCTTAATTTGTCAGCCACAGCCACAGCCAGTGTTGAACTCTTCCATGCTGGTGAAGTTGCATTTGATGGTTTAATAAATTAAGTTGCATATTGATGGTTTAATTTGTTTGAATAATGTTTGACAAATTCATTAGCATGGCTTTTGTTTTGAATTTGGGCATTATCTTGTGGAATTGCATTTTGAATTGTATTTGGGTTTGTTGAGTGAGAAAAACTGCATAATTATTGGCAAGTTTTATATATAGAGAAATGAAATGGTAACTGGACATTGATTGTCCACGTTATAGCTAAGTATTCCTTTCAACAATGTTTTTTAATTTAAGGGATAATGTCCCATATAGCCCTTCAACTACTATATTTGTTCTAATGTGGTACCTAAACTAAAAAAATTTCTAATTAGATCCTTAAACTCTCGATCCGTGTATCAATATAGTCTAAAACTTAACTCCATTCGTAGCTTTGCTAACTTGGCCATTTTAGCCAATAAAAAACTGACATCTAGCCACAAAACAACATGTCATCTTAAGTGGTTGATTACATGTCATGCTTATATGGTCAAAAAATTAATTAAGTAAAAATTATAACCCTAAACAATTACTAACACTACATTGAAATAAAAAAAAAAATGTTGAAATCTCATTTGTCAAAAAAAAAAATCCCATAATTATTAATCTGTCAATAAAAAAACCCAAACAATTTTAAGAATTTGATGGAAAGTATGTTAAACTGAAAAATTTTAGGTTAGATTTGATCACAAAATCTCATCTAAGTATTGGGTTTCTTCGTTGGAATAAGACAATTCTGGAGCATCGATTGACATAAGGAGATTTAGAGAGTATTTGGATTCGATTTTGTGGAGCATAATCAGAATTGATTTGGAGATTGAATCCCTTGAGGTATGCTGAATTTTTTATTCACTAGTTTTAGGTTTTCATTTTTTGAAAATGGTGATTTTTTATTTCAAATGCTTTTTTATTCAAGGGTTTAGTTTAGGGTCATATACATTTTTATGTGGGCATAGCATTTCTTTTGGTCAATATTTGCATGTTGGACTCTGTTTTTGGATGTTGCAATATGGTCTCAGTTTGTCTACATTATTATTTGCATGATTGTATTTTTTATATTGTTAAAGTTTGGTTTATTCTATTTTTATATTGGGCTTTATTTGGGTTTTGAGGATGGGCTTTTATTAGGCCATTTTGGGTATTCATTTAGGGCCCACACAACAGATCTCACTATAGGACCACATTAGGCCTCCACTTAAGCATTTGAAAATAGACCGTTAATAAATTTGAAAATTTGATGATTGAAGCCCAAATACAAAAACAAACTCAATTTTTTAAAAAATAAAATATCTTAGATAAAATTAGGCATCTACAGTCACAATAAAAATTTGTAAGAATGTTAAATTGAGAGCTCTAGAAACCATTAATTGTAGATATCATTATGAGTTTTTAAGGTTGTTTGATTATGTTACTATTCTAAGAAAGGCATATCGAAAAAGACATGTAGATCTGGTGGTTTGAAAGGCCAACACCAAACCATGAACCAAGGTTTTTAAGGTTGTATGTTTATTTTTATGCACTTGGGGAAGGGTTAAAGAAATACTATAGGCCTTTACAATGTGTAGATGGATGTTTTCTAAAAGGACCTTTAAAAGCCGAACTTTTAATTGCTATTGGTAGAGATGCCAATAATCAAATATATCTTATTGCTTAAGCACTTGTAGAAGTGGAGAATAAGCATAATGGTTTCTAGATAATTTGAAAGTTAATCTTGAAATGAAGGTTGGTGCTAGATTCACTATCATGAATAACAAACAAAAGGTATGTATGATCTTTCCAAGGTTAGTCATAATTTTGAATGTTTAATTAACATTTTTCATTTACTTTTGTAGGGTTTATTTGATGCTATAAGTTTTATTATTTCTGAAGTTGAACTCAGATTCTGTGCAAGACATTGGTTTGTTAATTAAAAAAAACCCATAGAGACAAGCAATTTTGGATGTGTAATAAAGTTACAACAGAGGCTAAAATCGAAGTAAGAACAAAGGAACTTGGAGATTTGAAAGGTATATCATTAACTGATATCTTAAAAAGAGGTCTATAGCATTGGTCAAAGGTATTTTTTAGTACTAAATGTTTGTTTAATGTTGTGGATAACAATATAGCTAAGGCATGCAATGCTAGGATTATTCATGTTAGGCATATGTCCATCATTTCAATATTTGAGGAAATTAGGCATTATGTGATGCAAATAATTATTGATAATATGACTAGATATACTGAGTGGACTAAGTTGTTGTGTCTCAAAATTTGTGAGAAAATAAAATAGCATAAAAAATTTAATGTTTTTTGTCATGTCATATGGAATGGTCTTAATGGATATGAGGTTAAGTGTCATAAAGATAGATTTGTGGTAGACATAAGTATGAGGAAGTGCACATGTAGGTCATGAGATTTGATTGGGATACTATGTCCTCATGCCATATGTGTCATAATTTTTAAGAAGAAAAAAATTGAAGAATATGTTACACATGTATATAAGAAAAAAATGTATGAGAAATGCCATAGTTGTGTGTTGCCACCTATTCCTAGATACAAGTTTTGGCTTACCTCACACATAGGAGACATAGAGCTGCCATTACCTAGAAAGATGCTTGGTAGATCAAAAAAGAACAAAAATAAATAAGAGGGTGAAATCTTAAATGAGACAAAGTTTTCAAAGAAAAGAAGAAAGCTAAGGTGTTGAATCTATTTCAAGTTTGGTTCACAATTCACGAAAGTGTCCACACAAAAATGTACATTATCATCTGTTTATTTTATTTATGTTTAATTTACAACTTACAAAGTAGTAACACAAGATAAGTTGAAGATAGAAATAGACCTATGCCTCATTCACCTAAAAGGACTAAAACATCAGAAGCAGCAGTTACTCCACTTACACCACCTAGAAGGACTACAACAATAGTAGTAGCCACACCACTTAAAAAGACTATAGTAACAGCCACACCACCTACAATGGGTACATCTACACCATCCAAACACACTATAGCACCACAACATCCACATAGACTATAGCAGCCACATCATCAAGACAACCTATAGTAGCCAGACAACAAAGAAACACAATAGTAGCCAATGTAGTACCAAAGGCCACACAACCTTAAAAGTTAGCTCCTCGAAAAGAAAAACAAAAAATTATGGAAAAATTTTTAGCACTTGGAACTAATAGGAGGAAAATCATGCAAAGAATGGGCATACATGTTAATGAGAATATAGGACTACAGATATTAAATATAAGGTTCCTTTATTATGTAATTTTTGTTTTGCTATTTGATTGTTTATGATTTTATGTATCTTTGCTAATGAATAAAGTTTTACCAAATAGCTTGGGCAAAAAAGACAAATGTTGATCTATACTCTAATCAATGCAAAGGGTGTATCAACATTAACATCAACTGTAGATAGCTCTTTGAATAAAGAGATTGATGGCCATTTAGATGGTGTTATTGGATATGAAGATGAAGAATCTGATTTTTTCAAGGTAACCTATTTATATGTGTTATTGTAATACCAGACTTTTATACATTGTTTGGTAATACTTTAATGATTTCAATACAAGATTTAAGAAATGGCTTGTAGGGCCTCAAAAGGAAAAGACAAACTTCAATAGCACTTGATGACACTCTAACTCTTCTACATACAATACAAAGTACACAAAAAAGCAAAGCTGGGAACAAAAAGTTAAAGAGCACCAAGTCCAACAATACTTTCAAGAACTAATATGAATGTTGTTTTTGAACATAATACCTTTTTGTAATTTTTGCTTATGATAAAGATGAATAATGTTGTAGCTCTTTTTGGATATTTATGATCAATTGATTTGTATAATGAGTAGTGATGAAGGTATACTGTTGGATATTGTATGAATTGGTTTTAGTTAATGATGAATGAATGGGTTTCATCTTTTTTATGGTTTGATCTTGTTTCATCTTATTTATGGATCAATTATGTAAGTTGTTTCTGCTCTTTTTGGATAATCATGATCCACTTGTTTGTGTAATGAACAGGAAATTGATTAATTGGTTTCATCTTATTAGATAATCTTGTTTATGGATTGATGATGAAACCAATACATCATCTTGTTTATGGATCATTGATGGATCTAAATCAATGAATTGGGTTTCATCTTGTTTGTCTAATGATCAATTGGTTTCCTCTTGTTTATAGTGTGTTCATGCTTGGCTACTCAAATTAAATGAAGAAAACTAATCATACTACTTGATATTGCTTTCATTTCGTTAATTCATTCTTACAAAAAAAATACAATAGTTCAGAAATTTTAAAAATTTTTCAATCCATCATAAAATTAAACCTAAAATGAAAATGAAATAAAAAAACCATCCAAGACATTAGCAACAAAATCTTGCAATATCATATTAGTCTTCGACCCTTTGCTACCAAATCTTTATATGATTTTTTTTCATTTTCAGCACCCAAACTTCATTCAAAAGCCTATTAACTTCATTATTATTACATTTTTCTTCAATGCAGTATTTTCTTTCTTCAACTGTTTATTCTCAGCCAGTAATTTATCTTTTTCAAATCTCAATTCCTCATTCTAATTTGCATTTTCATTGTCAAACAAATGCTCATCTTCAACTCACTAAAAAAAATCACAATTCACACCCTACAAAACGTTTAAAGAAACAAAATCAATTTTATCCATCAACACAAAACCAGCTCTACATAAATCAGCAAAATTTATGAAAAACCTCTTTAAACTTTCCATACTTATAAAATTTTCTTCATGGATTCTTCAATGTTGTTGACCTATGAATTAGAGCCATTAATTACTTCACAATAACAACTAATTAAAATAAAATGATTTTTTATTCTCGAGCTACAGCTTGATCATGATTGCCCAGAATGTCCATTTCTTTTCGATGAATCTTCAATAGAACTTTCATATCTTCTTTCTGCCATATTGCTTTCTTTATTTGCCATTGATTTCATGAAGCTAACAACTTCAATTTCTCAAGTCAACAACTTTGAATTTGCTCAAATTTCAGAGAGTTTTTCTAATTTGGGATTTACGATGGCATGGATATTCAATTTGAGGGTTTACGATTTAAGAGGGAAGCCTCATTCAAAGTATTACTTTTTTTCTTCAGACAATCAATTTTTTGGCCACAAAAACATAACATGTAATCAACCACTTAAGATGACATGTAATCAATCACTTAAGATGACATGTCATTTTATGGCCAAATGCTTGTTTTATATTGGCTAAAATGGACAAGTCAACAAAGCTGCAAATGGAGTTAAGTCCTAGACTATATTGATACAAGGATTGAGAGTTAATTAGTAATTTTTTTAATTTAGGTACCACATTAAAACAAATACAATAATTGAGGGGCTAAATGGAATATTATCCTTGATTTTACCATTATAAGGGTCTAAGGAAGATAATATTATTGAAACTTATTCATGAACGATAGTGTTCTTTTTTCCAAGGCTGGCTACGTAAGACTTATTGGGTATGACGATAAAAAAAAACTAAAATAATAAAAAAAATTTTAAACTTTATCATATTATTTAGATAAATCTTTAAATTTTTATTACATCTAAATAAACCCTTAATTTTTATTTTACTCACAAATAAACCCTCAAACTTTTAATTTGTATCCAAATAAGTCATTAACCTTTAATTTTTACCTAAATAAACCCTTAACATATATCAATATTTTGTTTGAAATAAGGGCATACTTGAATACAAATCAAAGAATAAATGATTATTTAGGTATAATAAAAATATAAAGGTTTATCTAAGTAAAATGATAAAATTCATAAGCCCTTTTAATATTTTAGCCAAAAAAAGGTTAATTAAATTTTTTTGTACTTACATTTTTAAAAAATATACAAATTGGTACGTAAAAAAATAAAATGTACAATTTACATTTTGAACTTTTAAATAATGTATCATTTAATCTAAGTTCTAATACTATTAACTTAACTTGTCTATAAGGCATCTAACCAATATAATTTTGTTATATTATTGTCATTTATTAAATAAAAATGTTAAAATTTCATAAAAATTTCATGTGGATGTTGTGTGAAAAAAAATAATTAGTCGTTCTTCGAAAAATATTTTTACGGTTCAAATAAAAAATATATTTTTTAATTTATATAAAGAAAAGATATTGATAATATGTGCAATAAACACATAAATTGATAATATTATTCAAATGCCACATATAGAAGTTAATGTAGTTAACAGGATTAAAGTGTAGGTTAATGTGATATATAATTTGAAAATTTAGGTTGTAAATTGTACATTTTATTTCTTTAGATACCAATTTGTATATTTCTCAAAATTTAAGTATAAAAATGTAATTAATTCTAAAAAAATTCTTAAATTAGGTAAATTAGAAATCTTTTAAGCATAAAAATATAATAAGAGTTTGTTAATCTGTTATTGATTGATTTAAGGTTAGATGTCTACAGAAAATTTAATATGGTATCATAGCAAGCACTGCTCCCATTTTTATCTCTTCCATGATAAGTGTGCTATGCCTATGATGCAAAGTTCATTACATACAATAGGCTCGTTATACCTAGACATGAAGTTCATGTTATTTGATAAATTCATTAGTTATACATCTAAAAGGAAGAATTATAGTGGAAATAAAAAAAATCCTGAATAAGTTAAATTAGAAGCATCTTGAACACATCTACTATCTATTACTTACAATAAAAGGAGCCTCAAACTCCAATTTTTTGTACATGTCAGTAATTTAATTAAAAATGATTGAACAATTAAATTCGAGAAAATGTACATTTTAAGCTTGGAAATGTGTTACTTTTTGGGAACAAAGAAAAGGTAGGAACCTTCTAGAGAATGGGAAAAAGCTTTTCAAGCAAACAAATTTGCAATCTTTCTTTCACAGGGATTTAATATCCCAAAACATCAACTTCGTTAATAATACATGTAAAAAATCAACCAACAAAATCATGTATCTACCACATCATTTTAACTCTTAATCAATGGTGCAAAGTGATTAGCAGAAATATAAGTTAAAATGGTTCAATGGTGAAATTACGTATTAACCCTTTTATATAATATCTCAAGGATTAATTAATAAACAAAACAAGCTGCTATTTGGGATACGACATCTATGGTTATCTAGGTCCCTCTTTTGGAGATGTTGGAAGAGTACAACATGTTTAGACAAGAAAGAGAAGATGAAAAGTAAAGGCAACGGGTCAGTATAATTCCTCATTCAACCAAACTAGAATTCAACATTAATAATGAGCTGTTACCCATACCTACTTTCCAATAAGGTGAAGCATTTTTCAGGAGATGAAGGTGCAGAGCCAGGCAGTCGTTGAGCTAGAAATTTTCATTGCATCCAGGCCTGCCACCAGTAATCGGTGCCTTTCAAATGGAGGTTTTGGCAATGCAATCCGTTTAAACAGTATGCTTTCTATGGGTATCCAACAGTTAGGATCAAACAGCATAAACTCAGCAACTGAAGTATATCCGTCATCAAAGAAGGAAAGAAATTGCGAGGAAAAAGGATATTTCCTCGACCTAATTTCGCCTTGTCACCTTGAAATCATGCAATTCCATTCTGATTTAATGCACAAGTAACTGGAACGCACTAGTTTAATTTAATTAACGAAAAAACATTCGATTACAAGGGAATTTGTCAAAACCATACTAACATTTAATGCAATTTTTGTTAACAAAAAGGAAAAGCTATGTATCGTTTATCTTAATCGGAGATTCATTTCCGGGCTTGCAAAAGAACTGGTCTATGCGGCGAGTTCCAGTCGGGGCGGGCTTATCAGCGACAGGCCGGGAACGATCTCGATCGGTCACCGAGCGACCAACGGCTTGCGTAGACTCGGCTGGCATCGGGAGTGAGTCGAGAAGGAAATCGCTTGTTGGTCTATGCCTTTTAACGGCGGTTCTCAAATGATCGAGCTTCACCGTCTTTTTTTTCTTCTCGGTGGCGACTTCGGCAGATCTCTCGGCGAGGAATCGGAGGAAAAGGTCGGTGGAACAGGAGACGAGGAATAAGGCCTCAGAGTTGACCTTGTTGATGTCCTTGTCGAGTTTCATGATCTTTTTGACCCTCCCCGTCGGAAATTCAGGTCGAATAAGATTGACGGCCTCATCGTCTGCCATTGATGGAAAGTAAGAAACTTGGAACCAAAAGAAAACAAATATAAAAAGAGCATTTAGGGTTTCCAATTGGCGGGAATTTTGCGGGAAAATTTTCTTTGTAATGGTAAAAGTACATTTGACGAATTTAAATTACATTGTTTTTCAACAATTACGTGAAGTCTTTTTAGGCAATTGATGAGGGTTTTTTCGTCCATTTAAAACTTTACGCGCCATATATCGTGCTATTTTTCGCGCCAAAGTGAAAGGAATAATTTTGAATATTTTCGCTTTTCTAAAATATCTAAAAACCAAAAAGAAAGTTATCTAAAACACATATGAAACTTTGTTCAATCTAATTAAATCAACAAATATTAAAATGTACATTATTGTAAACTCTTAACATATTTATTTATTTATATTTTAATAACAATTGCTTTAATAAAATATTGTATAATCTAAGGGTTTTACTAAACATAAACTTTTTAAGATTACTATATTAAAGAAGAAAAATGATTTGGCTATTATATTAATATTGAAAGTTTTCATTATAGTTTTAATTATGATGAATTTCGTTGATTTTTAATACGAAATAATAAAAATGATGAAAATTTACTATTATTATTAACAAAATATTTTATGAAATATTTTATTTGCTTTTTCAAAATCGACGAAATTAAAAATATAATGATAAAATTTGACATTTGCATTAACAAAATATTTAATGAAATATTGTGATTTTGTTAAGTTTTTATAAAATAATCAACGAAATTGAAAAGTACTGTAACAAAATTCAATAAAATTAAAAATATAAAATAATCAACGAAATTGAAAAGTATTGTGACAAAATTCAATAAGATTAAAAGTTCAATGAATTTGAAATATAAATATAATGATAAATTTAATTTTGATCTATAATGTAATGAAAATTTCACCTTTATCCCATCCTTTTTTTTAATAATTCTTTTATCTTTTCAAGACCGTAGAATTCATAACTTGTTAATTAGTACGTTTAATAAAATATTGTATACATTTTGAGTTAATAACTTAACGTGGAGTTAAAAATATAATGAATGGTACAGCCAATTCACCATTTGAAGTACAATCCATTTTTTTTATTGTGATGAATCTAAATTTTTTTTTTTTGTGAACATCGATTTTGTTTGGATTTATTGTTTTCATTTTAATTTAATGATAATAATTTTAATAATAATAATAATTTTAAAAAATATAATAATAAAAAAAAGAAAAAAGAGACAGAAATCATATGACTAGTACGATGTCGTTGTCACCCCCCAAATAGTCCCCTGATCAGCCCCTTATTCAGCTCACCTACAATCAGACTACAATCACCCAAATCTCCTTATTTGAAACTTTTTAAAACCTCCGACCCATTTTCGTTTCAAACTTTCTTTGAAAAAAAAACAAAGGCCCATTCAATCCACCCCTATCATAAACCCTCGAGCTCAGACGAATTATCCCTCTCAAAATACTTTCAATAGCCTCAGACAGAACTCTCATCCCCACAAAAAAAAAACTCAAATTTCAAACCCACACCCAGATACCCAAACCAAAGAAAACAGAAACAAAAAAATAGACAAACACAATCCTCCTCGCAGGAAGAAACCCAGCACCACACTACCTACAAAAGCAAAAATCATATTAGTCTCTTTTTTTTTTAAAAAAAAAAGACAAAAAATTTCAAGCCCCGATATACGACAATCGGAGCTGTTTCTAGTAAAAATAAAGTCAAATCCGAAAAGAGAACGAAAAAAAGAAATTTTTAGGGTATTTTGAAAGTTTTTCGACCACCGGCAATGCCGTCGACGGTGAACAAGTGACGACTGGTGCGACGGTCCGGCAACCAGACGGTGAGGAAGCTCTGGAGCTCTCCCTTCCATTTTTTTCCTAAAACAGAAAAAAAATTGAAACAAAATTTTTTTTCAATTATATATAAAGGCCTAAAGGCCAAAACGACGTCGTATTAGGCAAGGGAAGATCCGTGCGTGGACCCGTACCAGACCCGGGATCCGTGCAATCGACCAGCCAACTCGGTTCCTCAGCAACCCTGAATCGGTTTGATCGGATCGGACTGAGCCGCTTTCTAGATCGGTTCGAACCGCTCCTCAACCAGCTCAACCGAACAGCGCATCGAACTGACCCCTTTTCGATCCAACCAAACTGTCGTTGATCGGACCGTTGACCGATCCGATTCAGGTAAAAAATTTTTTTTTTTAAATTTTCTAATTTTTTATATATTGTTATTTTTATTATTTTAAGTATTTTTTTATATCAATGCATGATAAATTCTTAAATTTGTTAGAATAAATACTTAATTGTTTTAATAATAATAAAAATGAAAACAAATAAGATAATAATTAGAAATATATTAAAAGTGCTTAAAAAAATTAATAATAATAATAAATTTTTTTTGTTTATTTTCCCTGCCTAGATGTTGGAGGGAATTAAATCATGTTTCAAAAATAATAATTTTGCCTAGATGTTAGAGAATTATTATTATAAAAAAATACTAAATAAGTTAATAATATTTTTGATAATAAGTTTTCATAAAAAAGTTTTTTTTTTTCAAAAAAAAAACATTTTTATAAAAAAAATTATGTTTCTTAAATTAATTTTTAAAAAATTATAAAAATTGAATTTGCTCCGAAAATCCACCTAGACGTTAGGGATTTTTAGAGATGTTTGCATTTTAATTAAACCCCAAACCTCTAAACCATAAACTTAAACCCTAAACCTTTACCTTAAATCTATTTCAAAACTTTAAGGATACGTGTGAAAATCTCACATGAAATGGTTTGTTCCCGAATGTTGTCTAAATGATGGGATATTTAAAAATTTTCATTTCATTAAATTTTTCACACGAGTTCTTAATTCACATTAATAATAAGATTAATAAATAAAAAATATAATAAAAAATTAGAATATTAAATATAAATAGTCACACCTAAACTCTGTCTAGATATTGGAGAGTCGAGGTGGTCTCATTATACTTAAAAACCCAACTTTTAAATTGCATTTCATTTTACATGACATTCATTAGCATACATACGTTAACATGTTATCATCGATAATTGTCTGTATTATTCTTTCTTTAATTTACTGTCTGATGATAAAAATTTTATAATAAAAAAGAATAATACTTTTAAAAAAAATTTGTGATATTATAAAATAAAATAAAAATAACATTCCGAAAGAAATAATTCTTGGTACTCTGAGTAGATGTTGGAGAGTCACTAACAATTATTTTCTGTAAAGATTGTTATTTCATTTTAAGGATTATTGTGTTAAATCTTAAGTAAAAATAGTTATTTTAAATTATGCCAAGATGTTAGAGAATTTTAAGATAATTCTTTAACTTAAAGATTTTCTCAATATTTCTAAATAAAAATTTTAGCAAAATTTTATTTTTCCAAATGAAGGGAATCGGTGTTAAATTTCAAATTGAAATCATTTTTATCCAATACCAAAAATAGCGCGTAATTAAATGGTACCAATTTATGGGCGTTGTGGGGGTGCTAATCCTTCCTCACACGTAACTGACCTCCGGATCCAACCTGATTTTTTATAGACTGAAATTTATCTTTTTGATAAACTTTAAACCCGTTTTTATAGTTTTATTAAAAAGATAAATTTTTGGGTGACCAATCACACCCTAACAAAGATTGGTCTCAACTCCTTTTCTTTTATTTTTCTCAATTTTAAAATACTTTACGTTTGACGGTCCCAAAATCATTATGACATCTGTTGATTTCATCGGGTGAATAACATTTTAAATATTTTCAAAAGTTTCTAGATTTATTTGATTGTTGAAAAAAAGCAGGATTGAATACCAAAAGTTTTTCAAAACAAACCATCATGAAAAAACTAAAAAAAAAAAAAAAAAAAGAGAACGCAAGAAAGAACGAGAGGTGGTGTAAGAGGGAGGAAGGGAGAAACAAGCTGGGCTATAGAGGTCAAGTATCTCTTTGCTTATTGATATTTAAAGGGAATTGAAAGAAAAGGACATGGAAGTGAAAAAAGTAAGAAAAATAATTTTTTGCATTAATTTTGTTATATTTGAAAAATTATTTTGATTTTTTATATTTGAATTCTAAAATTGTTTCTAACAGATGATGATGGTGGATTGAAATGGTTATTTGTTTCAAAAGATCGAGACTGTTTGAGTATTCTTATGGAGGGAGATCAAAATATCAATCTCAATGGCTAGACGATGCATGCATTCTAATCAACATAAGTTTCGACACCAGCATATGGAAGGAGACATTTGGGAAAAGCAAACAAAAAAAGAAAGAGAAAAGAAATCGAAGACCAGCAGTGGCTTGAATGGGTCCAAAAGATTAGTCCTAATCTGACATCCCAATTGGTATGAGTTTCAACACTAATAGAACTCATGCCGTTGATGATTCATGATGCATTGATTTTATGTCTCGCAAAAAATGTCAAGTCTTTCACAAAAAATGCATTCTCGAATGCCTTTTAGCCCATAAAAAAGACATGCAATGGTACCCTTTTTGGCCTAAAAATCCTGTGTTTGAATCAATGAATAATTGATGGTATTTCACTCAATTTATTTGTTTAAAAATCAGGTTATTGACTTGCATAAAATAAAAAGTAAAACCCCAAAATCCTAATACCTTTTTCTTGTTTGCCGTCATTTTACTTTTGTCAAATTTCTTGCTCTAAGTACAGGGCTTTTGAAAATTGAATATCAAGATTTTCATTACCATTCTTTTTGAATTGAGTTAGTAAATTAAAAAAAAGTGAATTACAGCACGACGAGGTGATATGGCAGGTCATTAGGCACAAGCACTGCAATTCCATGTCCAAGTATAGTTCTTTTTCAAAGAAGTCATTTCTTTCTATTTTTTAAGCTTAGATTACCTTCTGGGTATCATCATTTTTAATGGTTTTTTTTTTTTTTTTGTTTTAGAATCTCTATTGGGATTTTTTGTAGAAACCTTTATAATGTCACTGGGATCTGCAATCATAGTTCTTGCCTTCTCGCTAATAATCGCTATGCCACTATCGGTGACCACGATAGTAACTCAATTTACTCTTCCTTTA